GCACCCACAGTACGGCGTCGACGATCTGCGCCGTATACCACCGTGCGCACCGTAGAGAGAGCGAGCCGTGTTTCTTTACTAGATCAGCCAAGTCGCCATGGGGAGCGAGGTCTAGTACGAAGTCTTCAACGCATGTGGTCAAGCAAGTCATTGGCATGAGTGGTGACCAAACCTACAGAGAGAGGTATCATCCTGGAAAGCAGCGTGCATCCTCACGATCCCAGGGTGTGTCCCTGACAACTTCACCAAAGCGTCCTTTTCTGCCGTCGCGTACTTGACCTTCTTCAGCTTGATTAGCTGCGCCTTGCTCAGGATTTTGACAGCGTATGGTTTGCCCGTCGCAACATGGGTGGCCTCCATAACCTGAACACTCACTCAGAAAAACCGTCTGAAGGCAGACAAACATTGACGGCTCACTGTCGACCATGATCCGCTTCCCAGCTCCTTCTTGAACGTGAACTGCGACGGGTGAGTCATCTTCGAAGGCTTGGATGTTACTCCTTGGAGAGCAGGACCATTGGCCGCGATCACTGGAGCGGTGCCTGAGGGGGTCTGGCGTCCTAGGTCGTCCTTGGAATCGTCCCGGATCTCGGCCAAAGCCCATGCAGGCGGCTTACTTCCGTTCACATGACGTGAGCTACGACGGGGTGAAGAGTCGCCCATAGCGGTCAGGCGAGGCCACAAGATCACTGTGGGTCGTGTTCAAGGTGCAGGATGGCCGGTCACTCTGCGTCGGATCGCGGTCGTGCGTCAGCGCTCCTATCTGACTGCCAGAGTAGGGTTGGGGCCAATCATTGCAATGTACAAGTCGTCTTGCGTCGTAAAGCCCGCGGCTTGCACCCATGATGATGCATGCTCGTCGTCGAGGAGAGCGGCGTCAAGGATACTACCGAGGAGAAATGCGAGGGACAAGGGTCGGACACGCCGACACGGACATGCGCGCGTGGGCGCCTGCAATTGTTGTGGCGTCGAACCACACGAGCTCATTTCCTCGCGCGCTTAACGGGCGCCTGCCTACCTGGATTCAAGGTCAGCTCAAGCGCCTGTAGCAAAGCGAGCAGAGGTGCGCAGGTGTTTTGGACAATGATTATTGTCCAGGGTCCATGACAGCGTAACTCGTGCCACCCCCTCGCCGCTTTACATCTGCTTTGTCTCTAGTAGTATATAGGTTAAGGGCTCGCAGCCCAGGATCCTCGTCCCCTCGCCCTTCGGGAGCTCGCGCTCCTCGAGCTTTCGTTTTTGCACCCACCCTTCCGCTGCCCCATTTTTGGTTTCGCTTAGCTACGTCTCATGTATCAGGTACATTCGCCTTCCGCCGGCTTGAGCTCGGCCCACCGGTCGCGCGAGAGAGCGGTGGCGACACGGACTCGGTGGTCCCGTGCAGCTTCCGTAGCGCGCGCCCAATACCATCGTTTTCCGTCCTGCCCGAGTATAGCGTGCATAGACGGCGGGTGCAGCGAGATCGACGGAATCGTCCTATGCTAAGTTTTTTATGCCCAGAAAACCTGTCCGGAGAGTGGATGGAGACATCGGGAGAGCGTTATAGACTCGTTGCTCGAGAATAATCGTACACAATGCGCCCAAATCCGAACCAGATTCGGCACGACATACATACGATTCACCTGGGGTTGCCGCTGTAAGCCTGATGGCAATTGGACCCAAAACCTTGCGGGACGACTCCGCGTCTCGAGTCATAGAGCTCTCTAGATTTCGAATTGTCAAGTTTTCGCGGCGCTCCTTAGTCCCAGCTCGCGACCCTCATGTGATCATGTTGCACCCGCCGCCTGCCCCCCTCTGCTTGCTGTGCTACACCCAGCTCAACTTCTGAGTCCCTTTGCTCCATGAACATACCAGGAGTAGTACAACGAATCGCATAAGTAACTCTGTGAAATTCATTCTAGGACATTTTGGGAGTCATTCTACATGTTGGGAGGGGTGCTCTAGCTACGCTCTCCTACGGGCCGGGTGCGCTGTAGCACAGCGCCTGCACTTCCTGTTTTCACTCAGATTTCGCTGTAGCCTCGCGTAGCCCGCTAGCCGCGATCATAGCCGGCCACGTCGTAGTCGTGGCCGGCCCTGCTGTGAAACTTATGTTCCCGTCACCCGCTGGATTGTCTTTGAGCCGACGAGAGAGACGCAGACATTGCGATACCGGGAGAAGCACAAGCGGAACTCCTGACTGCACGCGGTAACGAGAGGCACAACACTCCATCGACGTGCGGCGTCTTCAGTCATGATCTTGGAGACTCTGGTGTCCAACTCGAACGTCTCTCATGTGACAAAGCCATCCTGCAGCAGGAGGCCTAACCCCGGATACTCACTCATGCTTAGTGGGTCCAATCTTTACAAGGGAAGGCTCCACCGTAGGCGGCGCTGGGTGACCAAGTCAGAACTAGCCGCAAAGCTGGCGGGACTGGAAGATGGCGTAACGCGGAATCGCGAATCGCCTACGAGTGGCAGGCCGGGAGTACGACATGGTAGTATAAGGATCCTTGTGCGCTGTGTGGAAACCCGCCAGAGCTCCAGCCAACAGGCAAGATGCGTGTGCGTACAACACGCTTCGTAGGGATGGCGCCATCTACAATCCATCGATAGCACGATGGAGTCTGGACAAGGAAGTAGTCATTTTAAGGAGCTTGGCTGAGTCAAGCATTCGTATTACGCGTCAATGAGGCCTTTCTGGACCGCTTGACAGTGTACCCACTGCACCAGCAATTCAGAGATTGGGCAGATACGAACTGGTTGTGATCGATGATCTTCCAACTACATGAGATGCGCTCACAATACACAGCCATATCCTGTTTATGGGGAATCGCTTGTCGGAGTTTTGGCCTATCTTCCCACGCATCCTTCCACGTCGGGAACTACGTTCTACGTCAACCTTCTGCTCCGAGTCCGAGTCAGCGTGTCCTGCTTCGTGCCCCAAGAGTATCTCACCTTGTGTCGGACAATCATTCCAGCCAAGCGCTCGGAAAGTCATTATCTTCTGTAGCTCGAGACAGCATCATCTGACTGACATCACTCGAACAGGTTTGGACTGCTTGTCGGAAGGGTTGCAGGCCAGAACACAGCGCCGGGATCCTAGCCTCGTGTCTTTCTTGGAGAGAGTTCTTGCCCCGTTGTTCATCGTCTTCCTGTAAAAGAGGTGTCCTTGGTAGGTTCCCCATCGCCTCTTCTCTCTCATGTCCTCCGATGCTGACGAGTTGTCCATTCCTATACCCTCCGACAGAGCCGAATCCCCGCCACTGTCCGAGGCCCAGACTTCGCAACCTGGCAGTGAGGAGGAAGACCCTCGTGCCTCACCCAAGCGTGCGCCGTCCTCACCTGAGCGTGCGCCGTCCCCACACACGCCTCCTCGCCAGGAGCGACGCCATCCAGTCCGAGACGACTTCGAGCAAACGCCACAGAAGACCAATCCTCTGAACCTCAATCCCCACGTTCCTAACCCATTGTCTAACAAGGAACTCCGTCCCAGTCTTGTCGCTCCTACAGGCAGCATGAGTCGGTGGCGCCAGCTCCAGATGGACAACTGGATGGCCATGTTTGCCCCTCCCGGCGACAAGCTGTCTGAGAAGATCAGCACACGGCTACGACAGCTCACGGAGGAGACGTACAAGGAGAACAAGGTCACGTCTCTAAGCAATATCAAGATTGAAGCCGATTTGTACACTCCATTTGTACGTAACTCGACATCGTTACCCGGGCCTTGTTGACGAATCATTGTCGAGTAGTTCGGTCTCATAAAGGCGATTCTAACGGAGTTCGAGTCGAAAGACCTCGTATCTCTGAATACGTCCGTACACAAAGATGACAACGATAAGAAGACGACGATTCCGGACGGCGGCATCTACCTCGCCAGCGACCAGGCGCGGCGTGCCACCAAGCTGCTCCCCGCTCGCGTGAAAAAAGGCAAGACGCAGCCCGAGCCGGCGGAAGAGCGCCCCGACCCCGGGCCAGAGGAGCGTCCCGACCCCGATCCAGAGGAGCGTCCCGACCCCGGGCCAGAGGAGCGTCCCGACCCCAAGCCGAAGGAGGGGAGCCTCGACAATGTCGCGCGGCGCTCTTGGCACTGGGTGAACACGATCATCGAGGGGAAGGGGAGCCCTGATCGGTGCGCCTTCCACTTCAGCAAGCACGGAGAAACCTTCCTTCGTAGCTCGAAGGAGGGCAAGGCCGCGCTCGGACAGCTTGCCGAGTATATGACCCACGTGTTCAAGTACCAACATCGCACTTTCGCCTACGCCATCTACTTCTTCCGCAACAAGGCCCGTCTCATATACTTCGATCGCACCGGCGCCGCTGTCTCTGATTGGTGCGATTTTGAGACGGATCTCTACCTGCAGGAGTTCGTGTACAGGCTCGCAAAGGCTGGAGACGCAGAGCGCGGATACGATCCCACGGCCACGCTAATGCCCCCCGATTCGCCGGAGGTGCAGGAGTTCCTCGCTTGGGACAATGCCAAGCTTCCGCTATTCCGACAGTGGGTCCAGCAAGCTACTGAGAGATCCTGTCCCATCTACAAGCTGGAGGTCACGTCGGAGATGCGAGACGCTTCCGGAGAGGTGCATACAGCGCGTCGCTACTTCCTCGTCGGACGTCCTCACGCTTGCGGCGAGGCACTGGTCGGTCGTTGCACTCGGGGATATATCGCGTTCAACCTCGCTGAGAAGACTCTGTGCTTCCTGAAGGACTCGTGGCGTGCCGTCGTCCCCGGTCGTACTCGGCCAGAGCATGAAGTATACCAGCGTCTGCACGCGAGACTCAATGCTTCAGGCTGTTCCACAGACGGCTTGCCTACTTTGCTCTGCGGTGGCGACGTCGGTGGTCACGAGGCCCAGAAGACTCGCGTGCATTCGGAAATCACGCAAGCGCAGCCTGTCCCTCGAGCCCACCATCGCTTGGTCCTATGTGAAGTAGGTCTTCCCCTGGAAAAGTTCGGCGACTTTCACAGTCTCGTGCAGCTCATTAGGAAAGCTGTTGACAGTCAGTACTCTCTCGTGCTCTCGTGAAACCTATACTGATTGGTGATGATCCAGCGCATGCCGTCGCCTGGGAGCATGCGGGCGTCCTTCACCGTGATATCAGCGTCTCGAACATCCTTATCAAGTATGATATGAAGGAAGGTAAAGCTGTGGGTTCGATGCTTTGCGACTGGGATCTCAGCAAGTATAAGGAGGAGTTGGTGTTGGAACCGACTCAACCGGACCGCACTGTGAGTCGATTGCTACTACCTCGTCGACCTCAGTCCTAATCTCACCGCCTAGGGAACGTGGGCGTTCAAGTCCGCTCTATCCCTACTTTTCCCTTGGAAACGCTACGAACTCTCCGACGACGTCGAATCCTTCGTGCACGTCTTGCATTATCTCATCCTCAGGTATCATCGTACCTCCCTCCGCAAAGAGCTCAAGGCATTTGTCGACTCCTACTTTAGCGACTATGACGAGCATCACGGCATCCACTACGGTGGTGACAAGAAGTGGCGCCTTTTCGATCACGACGCCGTCGTAACTCCGTACCGCGTCGTGTCCGACCAGCCTCTGCAAAGCCTTGTAGATGGCCTAGCTGTCTTGTGCCACAACCAATATCAGCTCAAGCGCCCATTCGTCGAGGAAATGACTGCGAAATACGAGCATCCCTTCCTGGCGGGGCCGGACCCTGTGTCACCTTCCGCCGGCGAAGGCGTCTTTCTGGATTACGTGGGGCTCTACGAAGAGCTTGAGGAGAATCCAGAGACGGGTGTCCAGGCGTTGTCTTCCCAAGCCGCCTCGGTGTCATCACCGAGTGGCTCCCCCGGGGGGAATTTGGAGAAGCATAAGGACCTCATCCTGCTGCTAGGGCGTGTCAACAGTCTCTATCTGAGATTGTCAGCGTCCGCTCCAAAGAGCGATAAACAAAGGGACCAGTTCGATTTCCAGCGTCGCGAGAGCAACACATCGATATTCAAGTCGAATTTCTCGACGTCCGAGCATTTCGACCTGGCACCATCTGGACCTTCCAGTGCCTCGAAACGCGTTCGCAAGGGTGTGCGAGGTACCACCGGAGCTGCGGGAAAGCAACGCAAACGGAGAAAGGGTGGTGATGCCCGGAACGACGATTACTCGTCAGAGCGCGGGGAAGGCAACAGTGGTGCGTCAGGCTCAGGAGAGGACGAGTGATGGTTGGACACCTTGCACACGCTATCTTCGTTCATGTACGATCTTCCCATATGGTAGAGATTTTAGCAATTGTGATCACCAGCATTCCTGCCTATTTTTTGCTGCCCGCGACAAAGTACAACGGCAGCAGCATGCCGAGACTGTCGTCTCCGTCTGTCGCTATTGTTGACTGCTTTGGTTCTCGGATGTCGACTGACGGGAAGGATGTCTGTAGGACGCTTTGATGCGGTGTCCTGGTTACCATGTTCCTCAGCGCGGCACTGACAAGGAAGACCGGCTTCACTAATGCGCCAGTGACACCACCGTGACCTATTGCGCAAGTGATTAATCGTGGCTGCGTAGAGTCGGTATGGACGTACAGTAGTCAACGCCTCAGGTTATGAAACAATACCCGATCTGTTCATCCTGCATGACGGGGGCATCTTCTCTGAAGGAACATAGCTTGTTTAATATGGCACTAACCCGGTCCCCTGACATTGCCCTTCGCCTGCCTTTCGTCTTGCTGCTACGCCATCCTGGACCGCGTGGAACTGCTCCCTCCTTACGCAGAATGCCAATACACGAGATGCATTACGAGAAACAAATTACAGCCCCCGACGTCCAACGCCTGACTCTCCTGTTTACGTTAGTCTGATTACCCGACTGGTTGATTCGTGTAGGCAGAAGCTACTCAGTTCACATTAAGGCCGTCGAAGTGCTCGCGATATATTCTATCGATTGCCGCTCTTGAAGGTAATTATGGAACCGCGAGGTGAGAGAAAAATATCTGCATGTCCAAGATGCGGCACTCCAGGTCGCAAAAGACCACTGGGATTTGGACGAAGACCTACGGCCGCGATAGAAGAGTCTGTGGGACGAGCATAGAGATAGTATAACGACTCGTACGAACATAGGCTGCATCCCGTCGTCAGCGGAATAGACCCTTCCGCACTTGCCCCAGTCGGATACCATCCGGAAATCTATCAAGCTGCACTACGCATTGTCCGCGGCGTGTGACTGGAACTCCCATGGCAGCCGCTGCTGCGGCCCGCCTTCGCTGGAACAGATCCTGCGAAGACGACAAGTCACGTATACCTTCACGTACGAGACATGTGACAAGGTTCCGCTTGGCACCTGCATCTTCCCTCCGTTGTATTTGTAGGCAGGAGAGAACGGAGATAGCTCCTCGGCATCCTCATCCGCGCGAGCGAGTGCAGCAGACGAGAATTGGGGGAGGAGGGATGGCAGGTTCAGTGAATTTGTAGACCATGATGTCAGGGGACGTGAAGAGGATGGAGGGCACGAAAGCGGGAGCAGGAGGTGAGGCGGAACGCCTGACTTTAGCTTCGGTTGTTTCTGTGCAACCAGAGTGAAACAAAAGTCAGTGAGCGAACAAGGAGACAGAGATGTTAACCAGAAGCCTGCCAACCCCGTCGAGTTACGGCTTGCATGTACTTCACCAATCATTCGCGGTCAAGTGTTATGACACTCAGTCGGATGACAGAATGAGTTCATTTCGAACTACTATATCTCTCCATTAGTTAAGGACGTAATATGATCGAGGGTAAGAGCATCGCACCTGGAACGTAGAGCACCGCACGACTCCTTCCTTGACCAGATCGATCCACCATCCCGACGTCAATCGCCCACTCTCTACCCATGTTCCGAACCTGCAAGTGTATCCAAGCATGCTTGAGGCCCAGATGCGCCCTGCCGCCCGCTTTGCCAGGCGCGGCCGGTGGACATCGTATGTATGTCGTACGAACCGTTGGGAATTGTAGGCGCAGGACCGTTTGGTCAAGGGTGTAGTTTGGTGATTGGGCCGTATCGTCCTCTAAGCCTGTCGCCTTGAATCAAGTCTGGGGGGGAGGGGCCGGCTAGGAGGTCGCATCATTCAGCAGGCAAATGACTGAGTCGGAAGGGAGGGTGCTGTCCGTGTGGGTTTGGAACAGACCGATAGCGTCGCTCCCGGTGGATGAGGACAAAGAGACGAGGCTGGGCTGGACAGACGATGAGAACATGATCGACGTCGTGGACAGGGACAAGCAACGCGCGTCAACGGCCATCGCTGAACTCGACTCTTACCTCCACATCGAGGCCAACAGTGACTAGTGAACCATTCTCCTCTTAGCTGCCTCACCGTCGCTGGGGTTGATGCTAACCGCATATCACCTTGCAGCTGAGGTGGCTCCTGGGGGTTCATCGACGTCGACCTGAGTATCTTGGTAGGCGTGAGTCTCCGGTTCGTGAGCGCATACCGATCGGTAGTTATGGTATTGATGCTAATCTCTCCAATGTTGTCATATTATCCCCCTAGGTCCCAGGACAGTGCTACGCGACAAGAGCATAGATACGGGATTGTACACCGACGTGCTGCGATATATGATCCGGAGTACAAACTTGACCCTGTCAAAAACCAGCCCTTCCCATTTATTATTTAACAAAACCCTCGTATCTATGGCTCATCCTCCCGATCCGTGCAGTTACTCGGGCCCATCAACTGATCGCGACAATTGAGCTGTACGAGATGTATCTCCATCCATAAGCTTCAATGTTGTAGCTACGCTGCGAACAGTCCGTTGCACTCGACGCTCTATCCACGGATCTAACGACGCAGGACGTAATTACTCATGTACAGGGTCCCTAGTACACCGGTGCAAAGGCCCGGGTTGATCTAGCGTATGGTCACTCTGGATGTACAGGAGGATGTTACTCGGCAGCAAACTCATTCAGTAGTACGAGAAATTCTGAACCAGTAGGAGCGCTTGGGAAGCTGCAGATTGTCCTTGAGTAGGGAGCGAGGCAAGGGCTGTGTTGGCTACGTCCTCCTCAGGGCTACGAGAGTGAGCGGAACTCGCAAGCCAAGAATTCGTCCGTGCTTCTGCGCGATGGGTGTGGCTAGCGAAGGCGTTAAAGTGGGCGGAAGGTGACCGTTGGGTCGCGCCCCGGTTTGTGTTCCCCTCTGCCGGGGGTTGCGGCATCGGCACTCCGCCTGCGGAACTTACGCAGAACCACTAGCGGACGACGCCTCCGCGTACATACTTTCATGTCGAGTCCGCTGTGCACGAGAGAAACTGTCTGTGCGATCTTCGCTCGCGCTCTAGAATCTCGACCAGGCACGGCCGTCAGAGCATAGAGCCAAGATGTATCCGTCTATCGATTCTTGAAAACAGACATCAATCTTCCACGATCGTAGATGGACAATACAACAGCGTGAAACCCATGAAAAGTAGCAACGTACAGCCTCGCGACACTCATACCAACTCACATCCTGTCACAAACACAGTATCTAGCATCCAGCGATCTGCCAAACCGACAGCTTGTGCCCTGCAAGAGAAACAATGGATCTACTCTGAGGTCAAGTCGGGACATGACGGACGCGTGGGATCAGCGCCCACACCACGATCATCGTCGACATCATCGACACGATGCTGGTCAGATATGGTCAGTTTCGGTGCGCATTCGGGCAGAGAGCATGGCGGCACTCACAAAGGCTGGAGACTGACGATTCCAAACTTAGACGCGAGCAAGCCCGTGAGGAACGGGAGCACGGCGGAGCCAGCCTGGCCGACACTCGCGATGTAACCCAGGCATCCCGTGAGGAGCCAGCGGGGGAGGATGGTCGTGCTGTGGTTCATGAGGATAGGGTACATGGGCCCCATCAATAGGCCGATAAAGGAGACTGCTATGGCGTTCTCAACGAGAGAGGGGACAACCCAGACCGTCACTTCGAGTCTGGAGCGGGCAGTCAGGGAACCAGTGTATGACATCGGAGAGTGATGACCTACTGGATTGCGAGGAGAGCGTAAAGGAAGAGTGCACGTCGTTCGCCAATCTGATGCGGTGTCGTTCGTTGTGAGTGCAAGAAGCCCGGAGACCGCAGGCAGCGTACCTTCCGGTTCAGCCACATTAAGAGGATACGGCCGAGCATGAGACCGCCGAAGAAACCAGACGAGATATAGCCCGCGTTCGAGCTCCCGTGCCGCTTCTCCTGCACGTAGGTGACACTCCAGCCACCGATGGTGACTTCGACTCCGACGTAGATGAGGGCGAAGACGGAGAGGAGGTGGATCTCACGAATGCCGAAGATCTGCTTGTACTTATTTGAGGAAACCGCCTGTGTGTCGGGGTTGGTATTCCCAATCTCCACCATGACCTCTGTAGAAAATGCAATCAGCCCGTAGGTCACGCGGAGTATTACGAGACGCAGACTAACCTTCTTGGCGCTTACCACGGATGATCCACCAAAGCGCAGCAGTGTTGAGTACGTACAACCCCGCGGAGATCAGATAGTGGAAGGACCAATGCTTTTGCTGGGCGAACTGAGTAGAGACCAAGGGAGAGATCAGAGCACCCAAACCTGTTCAGCGGAGCATGAGGTCGTCTTGCTACGGGGGACGGTAGCAGCAGACGTACCGTACGACGCATGCAGAAACCCTATTTTCGTCGCTATATTCCCGCCAGAGCCAGCAGTGAAGCCGTTGCAGTGCGCGTTCTGGAGGGATAGGCCAAACCCGATGATCATGAAGGCAAGACACATGAGGGGGAAGGGTCCTGCTGGGACCATCATCGCGTACGCGGCAATTTGACAGACAGAACCTGGAGTACGTCCGCTTAGCTGCTGCAGACCATGACATTCCTCAGTGGGCCTACCTATGACTAGGCACTATTGCGTTGGAATGAGTCACCTGCCCAATAAGCAAATGATGCATCCGCCGAAATGCTCACCTTCCCAAACCCAAATTTATCGGTTAGCCACACATTCGCAAATGCTCCGATAATGAACCCCTGGCCTTTGATGAGCGTAGCCCCCTACGTGCAATGATATCGCATGACACTCACGATGGTGTTGAACACGAAAACTAGCGAAACGACAGCGAAGCCAATCTGTTTGTAGGTTTTAGATGATACACAATGGCGTCCTCACGCAAGGGGGGACTGACGTGGTAATAGGCCTGGATCCTAGGTAACAGTGGACCAGTAGTCCCGTCGTTCCAACCATTCAAGAACACAGAAAAGCACAGGGTCAGAAAGGTGAGGAGGAACTTTCGCCGGTGAATAGCCTTCTGCGCGGCCGAGATAGCGGGGACAGTCGAGTCCGTGTCATCGTCGATCTTGATTGACGGAGCGAGCGAGTTGGGGAAACTGGGCGCGATCTCGACATCATCGCTCTTGGAGGGCACAAACATCACATCGTCGCGAAATGTAGTGTCGGGAGTGTGCACGCTGGACGAAGAGGCGAGAGTATGCTCGTTGATGACGGGGAGCTCGATGGCCTCCGGCTCGTTAGCTGGCGGTGAGTCGAGAGGGCGGAAGCGTGCGAGTTCCGAACGTCGGCGGACACGCTCGCTCGTCAGTGTTTTTGGCCGCTCTAGAGAAGAGACGGACCCGGTTTCCCCGATCTCAAGCGCGGAGGTGTCGGGCGCAAGGACAGAGGATCTACGACGAAAGATACGTGCGTTGTGCGGCCCGTCCGTAATGTCATTTTCATGCTCCTCGATAGCCTCCTCGAAGCTCGCCTTATGCGCGCCACGCGCAGCGAGTTCAGCGGCGAGGAGGGACGTCATAATACTACAAGATGGCAGCGGGCCTGAGGAAGATCGAGGGAGGAGGATGACCTGTCCTTCAGTTCCGAGCCACGTTTTGAAAGATTTCCACCTTCGACTGACTTTTCTTCCGCACGTAAAGCCGCCGTGTCCGATGCCCGAGTCTGGAACCTGGAAGCCATGGTGGGACCTGATATGCGCCACGGATAGGGGGACTGATGACTGCGGGACATCGGTCCGCCGGCCGCAGAATGCGTAAAAATGAGGTGTAGAGCCAGCAGGCTGTTAGCCGTGAACTCACGGACCCTGCACAACGTCTGCAAGCGATGATGTGCGTGAACCACAGTAAGGGACGCAAGGAAGGCGCGAGCAGGTGCGGCTGTCCGACCCGCGAGACACAACTTGAAGAAGGATGGTTGACAGCTCCGTTACACGCGTGACCGCGAGCTGTCTCGCGCGCGTCCGGCGGCAATCCTCGCGCTAGCCTCCTCCAAATCCCTCTTCTCATTGCACGACCACATCGCCGTCGCCGCTCACACTCTGTACCATATTTGACATCCAAGACATGCAGGCCTATCATTCTCGTCACGGTATGAACACGTACCGTTCGCCAAAGCAGCAAATTCTAGGAAACCAAGCCACGAAGCCCCCTCCGGCGTGGCGTAGCGATGCGAGAACGGCATCCGGCTCACATTCCGAAGGCGGAAGCAAAATCCTTCTCAGCAGGCTCCCTGCTGATGTCGAGGAGAACGAGGTCGAGGTGCGTTCACTCTTTGTTCCAGCGCGAGTCGCGGGTATGCGCCTGGACCCTGACTGGAGGCTGACTGTCCGTTTCTTTTCCCGTGCCGCCTCGCAATGAGCAGATATTGTTCTCAAAGACGGTCGGCCCCGTCAGAGAAGTTCTCATGGTGTACAACTCGCAAGGAAGATCCAGAGGAATGGCCGTTGTTGCGTTCGCACGGCCCACAGACGCAGCTGTGGCGCGCGCGAAGTACAATGGGAAGATCGTGGACGGCAGTGAGTCTCTCTTATTCACTTTCGCTACGCGAGGAGTTACACAGGCAGCATACCTGTTGTATCTACGCCGCGCGATGTACATCACCCTGCTTTCTGAGCCCGGAGGCCTTTCGGCAAAGATGACCACATTCGTGTCAGAAGCGCGATACGTGCAGGTGCTGGGAGAAGGGACGGCGGTTGGACACCGTGTCCGTGGCATCTTGATCACCTTGAGGGCAAGTTGCAGGGTACAATACGAGTCTACCCGCGGGTAGGGCTATTATACCAGTAGTCTTACCCATGTGAGACTCACTCTCGGCCTGAAGGCCATGCAGCGATTGTGTGCGCGGACGCTCTAAATTGCTGCACACGCCCCGCAAGTTAGTGCATAATCACAAGTTTGCAGACACTCCAGCAGAAACGGCTAGATCCATACTTCGCGTATATAGGCCGGCGCAAGTCGCTCCTTTACACTACCCCTATGCTGCGACTCGTCTAGGACCTCTTCAGCGATACTCTGTTGGATGATATTCGTTGACTGTCCTCTCCACAGGGAGACCTATCAAGATTGAGATCGTCACAGACGACGATCAGCCCCGCAACGCTGCACCTGCACCCGCGATCGCCCAGCCCAGCCTCCTCGCTCGCCTTGGCCCAGTCCCACCGACGACTGCAAACGTACTCCAAGTGTGAGCTTCGCTCTTCATCTCTTTTGCTGAACGATTCCAATAAGTGTATCTCGGTCTCAGGAACGGCAAGAAGGCTAATGCACAACCCGCGGCAGTGCCAGCTTCACGACCAGCCGCGGTGCCAGCCGCCCAACCCAAGGCCCGCACACGAACAAAGCAGGGCGCGCGGAGGCTGAAAAAGCAGCGCGTGCAGCAGCAGGCCGCGCAGCCACAGAAGAGGCCAAAGCCGATGACCGCTGCCGAGCTCGACGCGCAGATAGAGGAGTATCTCGCGAACAGGGCCCCCATTAAGGTCTCGGACAGCATGGTTTGAGGTTGCGGTCAAATCCACCAGGTGTGGTGTTGTAATTGTGTTCGTCTGTGTTCTCGTCTTGCTTTGCGGTCGTTTTCTGCGTGTCTTGCAATCAATCACTGATTCCATGAGATGTCCATGTTGACAGTGTGCCCGTGTGACCTCGTATGCGTGAGACGACGCCTACAATATACAACGTACAATCTTCAAAGCTCTATGCTACAACGTCTCAATTCCCTCCCCCTCAAGCCGCGGAAGGCACCGGGCCCGCAGCCACATCAGCCTGTAGCTCCACGCTGCTCCCGTCCGGCCTCCTCTTCCCCCTCGTGTCCTCCGCGTAGTTCTCGTAGAAATTGTGCTCGTCCTTGCCATGCGCTCCACCGTTCTCGCTGCTGCGCCCGGGCCCGTCCCAGAAGTGGTGCGCCTGCGAGTACACGCCGTACGACGTGGGGACGACCTCGATGAGGTCCCCGCGCGCGACCTCTATCGCGGGGATTTCGGACGCGGGGAGCCCGATGAGGTACGCGAGGATGCAGCGGATGACGGAGGCATGGCCGACGATGAGCAGATCTTCTTTTTCGCGCTCGAGCTCGATCAGGGTGGGCTCCAGCCGCACTAGAAGCACGATGATCCGCAGTCAGCTTCGTCGCTCCTAGGTGTCAATGAATGCGGAAGAGGGAGAGGGGACTTACCGCAGAGGTCGTGGTAGCTCTCCGCGCGGGGCGCGCGGTACGCGTACGGGTCGTGCACGAAGCGGACCCATTCGTCAGGGTAGTATTTGCGCACCTGCTCGGGCGTGAGCCCGTCCCACACGCCGGGGTTGATCTCGGCCATCTGAGGCCGCTCGACGACCTTGACTCTCGCGGGCGGGTGCTGGTCGTTCGCGCTGTGCGTGAGGAACGGCCAGGCGGTGTGGTGCGAGCGCCGGCGGGCGGATGTCCAGATCTGATGTCGGGGCAAAATGAACGAGCAGAGTGAGAATGCAGGAGGCAGTGGGAGAGAAGGCGGGAGGACGTACGACGAGACGGCGTTCAGAGGGATCGATGCCGCGGGCCTCGAGCGACTTAGCGCGGCGATCGAGGACGAACTCTTTGAGGCGTTCGGCATACTCCCAACCCGCGGGGGAGAGGTCGGAATCCGCCTTGTACGAATGCTCGATGAGGGATTGTCCTGACTGCAAGTCAAGTTAGGTAGGATTGAAGTCAAGCCAGATAAATCAGGCGTACTCGTGCGAAGTAGATTGTTCGGAACCTGTTATGTATATTCATCAAGAAGAAAACGATTCTTGATTGGAGATAACCATGGATGCTCTATGGACTGAAGTTTGAACTTGACAGTGCAGGTGAGTCGCTTGAGCACTCACGTTAACCATGATCTTCTCGCCGACGTTGATGATCCGGATGAACGGCCATGTCGTCTCCTCCACGGGTTCGTAGTGTCGTTCGTGATCCTTGATTCGATTATAATAATCGGCAACCGCCTTCTCCGGGTCCCAGCCACGATACTAAGTACGAGTAGTCAATGAAGGACGGCTAGAGCACACTCTGGTATACTTGCGTCTGGGGACGATATCTTGACGCTTCGTATATTTGAAAGGATGAGCTCCTCATTGTCACAAGACGACTCTAACGTCTGTGGTTAGTCATGAGCATGTAGAGATATTGACCGCATGTACCGAGCATGATGACGTGAATGCCGGCCTTGTCAAATTTCTCCGCGACAGCGTTACGACGTTCACGCGTCCCATTGTTGGCATCGTAGATGACGACCTGGCCGCCAGAGTTGAAGAAATCCCAGATGAGCTGTTCACATCCCGTAAGGACCTTCTCGCGCAGTGCGATCGTCTCTGGGCTCTTTTCTCCTTGTTCGAGCATCCCTTCAGCAACACCCCGGCGCATCGTCGAACGCTGGACGCACCAAGAGTAAAGTAATCTGGAGGAAGCTTCTGTGCACCTCCAAGGACCTTGCGACGATAATCGCCTAGCGAGATGACGGCCGTCTTCACACCAGTCCAGCGGAGATACCGTTCCAGTGCTCGCGAGATGTGGGTCTTGCCTCGGGCAGGGAGACCGACGGTGCAAACCAAGATCTTGCCGGCATGGAACAGAAGACCTGAGGCGGTCGTATACAGCGGAGCGACCATGGTGGTCCAAGGTGAGAATCAGTGCGATATGGTCGCTCGACAAGTCCTTGCCCTGCGCGTCGCGAGCGGAGCAGCGTCCCCGATTAGCTTCATCTAGTCTAATCTGATCTAATCTTTTACATCTCACACCAGGACAATAGCAGGCGCTTAGATTGGATGTGGAGTCAGCGGAGTTTGCTTTGTACCCTCTGCTGACACAAGCAGGTTTCCCCGTATATAATACGGGTCTCGTACCGCCACGGATACCCATCATGTTCTTCTCACCCCACCAGCCCTTCCACGATTCTGAGCCTTTCAACCTCTTCCTCCCAATGGCAAAACATCGTGCTCGCCCCTCCAGGCACCGTCAACACCGCCAACGCCGCGCTGGCACCCCTTCGACTCCCATGGAACAACTCAAGCATAGACAAGCTGTAGCCGCCCAGGCCAAGCGGCAGCAAATTAAGAAGCAGAAGGCCCAGAAGACCAAGGAACAGGCGAATCAGCTGAAGCAACGCATGACTACAATGCTTACAGCCACCGCGCAGCGGGCGCGTCGTGAGCGGTGGGCTGCGATTGCCTTGGAAACCCAGGCCATCGTGCTCGGGAACGGCCAGTACGTGGAAGAGCGCATCGAAATCCCCCTTGTCCCTTCCACCGCCTCCCTGCCTTCTGACGGCCCAGCCTTTCCCTCACCTATCCATACCCGTATCACACACAACATCGCCGCAGCCGTCATGCTCTCCAATAATCGCACCATCTTCTATCCCCATTACTCCCCCGCCCTCGCTCAATGGCCGGAGGCTCACCCAACTGTCCTCTTCCCTCCTACACAGATCGAATTCACCCGCAGTTCGACTCTGAACGTGGCTCGCAACCTCGTCACAACTCGATCGCAAGACCCTCTGAAGTCAACTGATATTGGTGTCCTCTCGTTCGCCTCCGCTAAGCGCCCTGGCGGTGGCTATCTCCACGGCAGTAGCGAGCAAGAGGACACCATCGCCCGCCTCAGCTCCCTCGTAGCCAGTCTGGCTTCACCTGCGGCGAAGGACTTCTACAAGGAGCACCGAGCATTCCGAAATGAGGACGGCAGTGGTCTTCATGACCACTCCATGGTCTACTCCCCAGGTGTCGTGGTTTTCCGCAAAGACGCAGATGACGAGCACGCTCCAGGTCGCAACTCTAGATCAACCCCTCCCGAACGCGACAATGTGGGTGGCGCGTTCATCTCCCCGTACATCATCGACGTGGTTTCCGCCGTCCCTGTCAATGCCGCCGCCGTGCACCAGAAGCACGTCATTCTACCTGGTGAGCCCCAGTTGTATCAGGAAGGTATCCGCCGCGTGATGAAGGACCGCATGGGGCGTGCCCTGCGCGTGTTCGAGACGCACGGCGACAAGGTGCTCATCTTGGGCGCCTTCGGGTGCGGATCCTTTGAGAACAAGGTAGAAATGATCGCCAGTCTTTGGGCTGAGCTGCTTGTGTGCGGTGAGACTGTGGATGGTGTAAAGCGTGAGGCACGCTTCAAGCAGTCGTTTGAGAAGGTCGTGTTCGCTGTCCCTGGGAGGCTATTCGAGCCGTTCAAGCGGGCGTTCGACCTCCGTGTTGATGAGGAACTGCTGACAGCTGCTATGGCTTTCTCATAAGCCGTCTGCAGTGGACCACGGACTCCGATCTTTCAACCGTCGATTGTGTATTACTATGCTCCAGTTTCTTTGTATAAGTACTGCCGACTTTGTTATCTAGTATATCAAGGTCTGCTAGATTTTGAATAGAGCGGATTGTAAGATATAATTTATGGAGTGCGTAAAGAGCGTGATGCTCGGGCCCTTCGTTAGGCTTCCTTGCGCAGGCGAGGTCATTTATGCGTCCAATACTGAGGCGGGCTTCCCTTACAATGCTGTATGCTGGTCGCTGGGACAACATAGCGCTTACTATGAGTGTGCACCGTTCTGGAAAACCGCACCGCATCTACACGCGAGTTTTCATGTTGAACGTGGTGGGGCCACGAAGCAAAAGGCGAAGCAGATGAGCCTGAACGTCCCCACGGTGTATTCAATTGAATTCATGCGAGCTGGATTGTGGACAGGTCGATTTGAGTCAGACATACTATTCGAGACACATGCTAACGGTGCGCATACTACTATCGCCTCCTCCGCTAAGCCATGCGAGGATTGTTGACCCAGATCTGGCTGGCGTGCTGGTGATTTGGGTTACTGCAGAGTCGTTATGACTGGCGTAACTAACATTGTAAGAGCTGGATAGCTCCTGATTGACATTATTATCATACATGCGACCGGACGCTCCGCACGCCCTGACTCGCGATGCTTTTCTTGTCCATATCGGCATCCTCGCTCTCCTCCGCTTTGTGATCGTGCCCGTCGACACCCGCACCCTCGAACGCCGACCCGGAGACGTCCACCTCCTCGAACGTCGCGCAGTTGCTTGATCCCCGGATCGGGAACAGGAAGCTGAGCGACCAGTAAATGAGCGCGGAGACCCCAAAGCCGGTGAAGAAGGACATCTCGTAGATGCGCGTCGCTGCGAGGGGCACGGTGCGGCCTGTCGCACCGGCAAAGCCCACGACGTTGATGAGGATTCCGGCAATGTAGGCGGCATATGCACTGGGGAATAACCGTCAGTCGCCCGGTGGAGAGCGTGCTGGAGGGCAGAGACACACCGGAAGTTGATACCGAACGTGTACCAGTACCAACCCTCTTTGCGTGCGTGGTAGAGATCGGCGACGTTGTAGTGACCTTTGTGGATCACGTAGTAGTCGGTGATCATCACGCCTGCTATGGAGCTGAGGAAGACAGAGTAGGCGGAGAGGTACGAGGTGAATTGGTTGCTGCTTTTGAGCAGGTTCCAGGGGAGCATGACCAGACCGACGATCGCGGCGATGTATCCTCCCCTACGGATATTCTGTGAAGGACTATAAGACGCTGGGAAGGACCGGGGGGCGGATCAATGCTCACGATGAAGCGGGGTAGAAGAGCGGTGAGATCGCATCCTGCGCTGATCGAGTTGGCCGAGATGTTCGTGCCGAGCTACCGCAAGTCGCAGCACGCAGTCAGCCGGAAGTCCAGGCTTCCCGATGTCGCATAGAGGTAACGCACCTGCGCGATAATGAACGAGGCGGCAATGAACCACACCCCGAATCTGGTCGCATGGCTCGGGTCGCTGTCGAGGAACTTCCCAAGTAGGTCGATGGGAGACCAAACCGCCTCACCGTAGATCGCCTGCGAAGAAGAGCTGACGATTATTCCGAAGAAGCTGACAATGGAGAAACCAAGCGGCACGGAGATGAGCTGCGGCCAGAGGGCAGCCGAAGGATGGCGAGAGCGGGACGCAAAGTCCGGCGCATTCCTGCATACAAATCTGAGCCATCACATACGACACAGCAGCGCGGGTTAGACGTACGTGACAAGAGTCGCCATGTTGCTGATGCAGGACATGATACTCGAGACCATGCCCCAACCGAGAGCGGAGCCGTGCAAGGTTGCAGGCTGGTGAATGATCGGACCAACACCATGGGCTTTCACGATGCACCAGATGAAGAATGTGATACCCGCTATTGGAACCACGACTGCCTTTAGCGTGAAGAGGTGCCGGCTAGAGGGGTATGATGGCTGAGTCTGACGTATCTATTGCTGTAAGCGGACAAGGCGTACATCTTGTGAATGGGGAACCAGATGGCGGGGAGTGAAATGAGCCAGAATAGGAAGAAGCACATGAAATCTCGCGTCGTTGTCCCTGAAGACGCGGGTAGATGGTTCGCTGGCGAAGAGACTTAGCTCAGCTGCCCGAATTCGGAGTACACCCTTACTTACGGATATCATTCACGGACGGCCACATTGCTCGCAGCATGACAAGGACACATGACCCCCCGATGCTAGCCTGCACACCGTACCAGATGCTTCGTAGGAGAAAGGTATGAGGTTACAACATGGCGATTTAGCCTGAAAACTCACCATGCCATGGCTCCTCGGTTAAATACACACCACAGGCTTCCCCATACTCCAAAGCTTGTCCGCGCGACCACTGGGAACGTGACATGGAAGATTGCACCGGGTCTTGCATTCGCGACAATGAACGGAGCGACGAGCCCGTACCCCAGCCAGACGCATATCCAAGCTTGCCACCAAGAAAGGCCAAGCTGGATCATGGAAGAGGCGATCATCCATCTACGTTCGAGTGCGGTGAGCCAGTTACTATGGGAGCAGTAGGCATTGGAAAGGGTAGACGTACGTGTTTATGTTGAAACTATCTGCTACCCAGCTAGACAAGGCTGTTAGAGGGCGAATGAGCAGACACAGGAGGACACGCACAATGCAATGAAGTTCCAGACGCCCCATGTCCGCTTCTCCTCGGGTACAGGCAGAAGATCCTCGTTCTGCCGATAGTTGAATGAACTCGTGTGCCTGCTCGGAGGAGGTGGACAGTGCCCAAACCTGCAGAAACAGCTCCGAGTAGGCCAGGTTCTCCGGGCGGCTGACTTGTAGTCTCTTAAAGAGCCCCATGGTTGGCTTCAAGCGAAGCAGGAGAAGAGGATGAGTGGAGGAACGCGTATGGGCAGCGAATGACTCGCTAGCCGCTACCCCGCATCCAGCTGACATCTTAAGTAGCTGTGCTGTTGATAACAATCTCCGTCTTGAACGCGTCCTACGGGTGGCCGTAGAACTTCTAGATGCCGCCATTGGTGCCTCGGTGTGCTTCTGATAAGACTGGGAAATATGGTATCCAGCCGAAGATAAGCTCCAATTTGTGCTGTGGCTGGCGTTCCATGGTACCAGCGATTGTGGGCCACGCGACCTGCTGAATGTTACTGCTACTGTCAGCGTGCGGATTTCCGTGAACCGTAAAGGCAATACAGGATTCTGAACTCACTTGTAGTTGTAGTAATTCGATATGAAAAGTAGGGTCCACCTCCCCAACGCGTCCCCGCGATTATCAACGTGGGGTAAAGTTGGCGCAGTAAAGGATGGAAGCGCACGAGGCACGTGCGGAGCCCGCATAGATAACGCCGCTGTCAAAAGGAGCGCCTTACTTTCCAAAAAGGGCCCATATTCAAGCGCTGTAGATCGCTCGATGGTTGATTAGCGTAAGCCGGCAGGTGCCATGCTTCCACTTCTCTCCCCCTGGCAAGGCACACAAAGTGTTCGAAGTTCAGTATGTATGACACCGCTGTGACCTTGACGCATCACGGGCAGAGTCGACCGTAGGCCGTCATCTTCTCAGAGGTCCGAACACGGACGAAGCTCAACTGCGACCCGCTGGGGGGCGGGTTGGCGTAAATCGCATGCCACGTGAATGTGTCCAAACGTGAGAGTCGCAGAGTACTTACTCGCGGTCCTACAGCGGTTGTGGTCTACCGATCAGAGTAGTTGCTACAACGACATGTCGACATTTGACTTCGACGTGCCGCGCACCGTCGGCCCACATTCACTCCGACAAAGCTCAGCCACCCACATGTTCCCATAGAGCTCGGGCGCGGCTTTCGGACTTTGAGCGCGTCTTCTCCCGCCTGTTTCATTCTCAACTATTGACAGCAGAGTGCAGCCGGAATCCAGAAAAGGTACCAGCATATCGTGCTAGAGCTGTGCATGCTGTGATGCAAACCGCCGGCTGTGGCTGCGGCTATAGGCCTCCGCGCTCAGGCACCTCTGTTCCCGGCCAGGGTGGGACAGTAGAGATCGACACAGTCTACCTACCTTGAGCATCAGCTTGGGGGGATGTGAGGCAGAGAATATGGCACCATCTTGTGACCCTTCCCGAGGGCATCACCCCGTGCTCGTCGCCAGCGTATGTCGGAGGCGGTGACTCAGCGCCTCCGACGTCTTTGTACGGTGTGGTTACGTAGCTCACCTCCACACTGAGTTCACCTGGCCCTGTTTCATTGTATGTGGATCCATTTCACAAGCACAGCGCCCTACCACCTCCTATCAAAGCCCGTTTCCAGCTGATGTAAAAACCAGCGTCGCGTTTCCCCCAGGCCTCCCTGTGCTCGGATCAGCGGCAGCCCCCTGCCGAGCCCCTCAAGCCAGCGCTCCGGCCACCTCCCAGTCAGGGGACAGGCTCGCCGTGACTGCGCGAAGTGTGCCCCGCCTCATTCTACGTGGTTTCAGAGCTACAGGACACACAATATTCTGCATGGAATGCTTCCCATGCAGATTCCCGCTGTGTGCGGGTGCTTCCAGCAGTGGACCAGAGTCGGGCAATGTCCTCGGTGTGGTATAGCTGGGGCTCGGCCGGGGTTTTCCGGTGATCCGAGCACATCCCCGGGCGCGGGGACTGCGACGCTGGTTTTTACATCAGCTGTCATTGCGCATCGGTAGTCGGCCACGTTAGAGCCGTCCGTTGCCGCCGAGACCGATGGGAAGCACCGACGACGGCGTTTGTGAAGCAGCGCGCAGATAAGCGTTGAGCAGGCGTCTGCCGTGAAATTCGAGCGCCCTGAAGCAGCGAGAATTTGCTTTGGAAGGGCAGGCCGCAGTCAGTGCTCAGGGCGAGCCGAGAGGTTGCGACCGAAGACACATCGTGGTTGCAATCGTCGAGACGATCTCATTGCTTTCCCTGCCTCCTCAATGCAGTCCGGGAACAACGGGTGAATTCTCAGTTAGCTTCCATTGCGGCGGTTACAGCCGTGTCTTGGTGCTCGGACCGTCAGTGGGTCGCTACTATGGGAGACTGTTACGAACCACCCACCATGTCCCCGTCAGTCTGCGCCACTCTACCCAGGGATATGCAGACGTGAGCGCTGAACATGTGAAGGAATCCGGTAATCATACAACATTGCAATAAATGCAAAAGGAGTAGTGGTACATAATGCACAATCCCATCTTAGCCGTTAAGAGATAAACACCTTGCGCAACTTGCTGAATGAGCAATGCTCCTCAGCGTCGCGGGGGTCGGTGACAAAGCCGTCATTCCGCGCGGCCATTTCTTCCAACCCCTGAAAAGTGCAGCGAAGCAGACAAGCATGTTAGCCGGTCCGTTCCATCGGAGCAGACGCCGCACGTGGGATAGAAGTGAAAGGCGTCGGGACGCACCTCCTTCGAATACACCTGGCCGTTCTCAAACGCCATCGGCATGTTGTCTTCGTCCATGATCCTGCCTGTGAGGCGGCAGACTATCGTGGAATTGACGTGGTGGCTGAAGGGGACCTCCTTCGCGAGCTGACCGAGGTCCGGATTACAGGTGGGGCAGTCGACGTTCCGCGTCTCGTGTCCGTAGCATGCCGGTAGTTTCAGGGACGCCAGCCCCGCGTACATCGCGAGGTGGAGCAGCGGCTCGGTCGGGAGGGTACTGAGGTGGTAGATCGCCAAACGGAATGACTGGATGAGGGTCGTCCATCGGCCAGGATCGTATAGGCGCTATGGAGAGAGCGCACGTCAGTATCAGTCGGAGCCTAAGGGCCAGCCGCAGTACAGATGTCGTGGTACGACCTAGGAGGGCGTTTGGAATCAGAAGTGTGAAGCCGATATGCCCTGGTGGGAACAGCAAGTCATAGTTTCAGCCGGTCGGTAAATTGTTGCTCGGTAGAGCGACATTTCAGTGCTAGTCCGCGTTCTATGGGGAGCTGACTCATTCAGCAGTGACCATGAGCCACAGCTATTACACTAGAGGGGGCTCAACATGGATGGGTTGATTGTGAAGAACGCCATGCCTTGTACAGCTTGCTTCGGTGTCATTGCGGCAAGGTTCGTGGCGCTAAGCGCCAGTCCGGCATTGGACGGCATACGGTGTCAAGTGATTCACAACTGCCCTCCACTGACAAAGGTTGGCGAAGAGGCTCGAAGAACTTGGCTCACCTTGTATGGACCGCACGATGTAGTCGGAGGATAACACAGTAGTGCGGCTGCCTGTACTATCTGATGGTGATGTGTGTCATTCCAGGGTAGCAAGTGCTTCTTGGAGTAGGCGATGGCTTCGACCGTCTTGCGGGCTCGTGCGAGCTCGATGTATTCCTGCAATCGGAGGTCGAACTCCAAAGTGTTCTGCACAAGGAGAGGGATATAGTCAACCGATGCCAAAGGGTCCATATGGCGTGGCGTGGCGTGAGGAATACCTTGAGCTTCCGAAGCGCAGCCTTGTTCTCACTACACCAAGCGAGAGCTTCCGTACAGCTTTTCCGGTTCAAAGCATCCTCGATCCTGCGGATATCGGAGAAGAGGTCTATGTCCACCAGTTTCTGGGTTTTCCGGAAACAGATGATTCAGTATCAGGAATCTACACGTGAAACGTATTCGCTGTCATTCAGGCAGATGAGAGACGAGACCTCACCTCTATGCCATTTTGGGCAGCAATCATCCTTGCTGTCTTCTCCTTACCGTTCCGTAGACACCAGTCCACAAGCCATCGGTCGAGGCGCACATCTGCCCATCGTGTGAACTCGGGAGCCGTGGAAGACTCGGTGTCCTCCACAGTGGCCAAGTGCTGGAGCCGCTCACGCATCACGTTCAGGGTTGGGGTACCCGCCGATTCCTGCATGTCAGAGAGCTAGGAGGAGAGGCCACGTCGTCAGCGGTGAAGAGATATCATATTCTTTGCAACGAGTATGCATTGGTCTCTAACAGACCTTGCGCTTCAAGCCTTCCACGCGAGCGATCATGCCGTCTATGGCCTTGACCGTTGCGTCAGCATCCGATCCGTAGTCTTTCTTGGCAAGGTCATTTGCCGCATTCTGCACGGCGCCCAGTTCCTTCTCGATGTTCTTTTGCGATGTGCGGAACACCTTGCGGTAGTTCTCGTATGGCACCTGCGACAGCGGCGCCGGGTCGTCAGCACGAGTCGCCACCGTGGTCTGAATCCTATGACGTACACGAGCGAACGGCTGCTCAAAAAGCATGACGCCTTCCGTATTGAGCTTGTTGAAACTCATTGTGCTTGTTCAGATGATGGGTCGGTTGTAACAAACAAGAAACCCAGAGATACGAGGCAATTGTTACCAATAGGCGCCTAATGTGGGGCATCTTATCATATTACTTAACTGGTCCGATAACCTATCTGACCCATCGTCGGCATCTGCCGACCCAAGGTGAGCTTCCTCGTCCAGCGGTATGTTGTCTTTGCAGCACCGCGAGACAGTGAGAATCACTCCCTTGGATGTTTTAGCTCGTGGGATCAGCCTGAGCGACTTACTCCAAACCAAGTACATAATACCATCCGGTTCCGAAGCCAATCCGCCAGGTCCAGTAACATGCAAGAGATTTGGTCTCTTTTTCATTCCGCAGCGCGCAGGTAGTGACTCTAAATCTATTGATAGGAGCTCCGTAGCTCACTGAAGGCTGGGTAATTGTGCCTCTTGTAGTGCCTTATTAATTGCCGTACCAAAAAATACCGGTCTCACATCATCGTTTGGCGGGTTGTTATTCGACGGTTCTTGGTTTGAAGCAGTCGGTGGAATCAGCTCCACAATATCCGGTATTGGGAAAGGGTGAAGCCTTACGGCATCCAGCCCATTTGTACGACGTCAGCGCCCTTCTGCACAATGGACATGAAATCCATGTACTCCAAGGGAAGTGACGCATTCCCATACTCTGCACGCGGGGCTACCTCGCTGGTGTCCACTAAACGTCGAAGTATGCGCAACAATCGCCAACCGACGACGTGAGCTATATTTGAGTCGGCTGTCCACGAAATTCAAGCGGGTCGAAGGTCCAGCCATCCGAACCTATTCCTCGTGACAATGTGTTTGGCTTGAGTCAGAGGACTGCCCTTGTGGTCCAATGAATTGGTAATGGTAGCTCGAAGCTCAGAAGCTCGCGGATCAGTTCGGCGCTGACGGTGGTCTTCGAAGCGGCGCCCATAGACAGCCACAGCGTGACAAATGCAATGATGCTTTCCGCTCAGTTTACGCTGCGGTCCCGCCTCGAAGCACAGTACATGATGGATCCTTGGGAATCCCGTATATCAAGTCACACGTTGCCACTCTAGCTCTGAGCCTTGACTTTGTTTCGAGTCATTGCCCGAGGCAAATGTTGTGCCCGCCACCGATCGCTAGGACACCAGAGAAAATGAACCGGCAGTCTTCATGTCCGGATATAACAAGCGGTCGCAGTCGCCTTGATCGCGAGGTGAGGTTGGAAAAATATAGCCATGTCCGACGTGTAGGTGTGCACTATGTGGGTTCTAGGCTTACTTGTACGGATTCAACACTCGGGATCGGCTCGGTCTAAACTCCGATGTCCGTCAGGAGGTGAAATTCAACGAAATAAATGTAGTATCGTCGATAGATCAAAGTTGGAGAGTAACGGGTCCAGTCTCATACTAAGTACTATCAATGTATATGGGATGTTCCTCGCATAGCAAATAGATCAGCGATAGGATGACTAGTTGTGCGATATGGCTTCGAGGGCGTGTCGGACGGAGAAAACACCGATATGTGTAGACATATGGCCCGAGTCCAAATGCTTATCCGAGTTTCTTGGGTGAAAGAACCAAAGAGTCATGAAGTGGATTGCATAAACAGTAAAATTCGAGCACTCCCAGTTCGACTGAAATCTAAAGGGTAAGCCAGGGCGGCTGTCATCCAGTAGATGCGCAGCAAGAAGGCAAGGCAGCCGCATATCACTTCATCTAGTATGACGACACAATATGCACTAACACCTGGGGGGCCCTTAAGCTGCGGTATCTTTTCTGAAGGAACATCATCAGCAAAAGTGCGAAATGGTTGGCTATGGTTGGCCCGCTTGGCCATGGCGTCGAAAATTGGCGCAGATTGTACACGCATCCAATCGGAGCCAATCCAATGCAATTTGAGCAATCCATTGGGCAAATAATCCAAGTATCTTGATAGCTCGGGTAAGAACAAGCGCCCGTCTCCAGTGATTTCCGTTTTAGACACCTTGCCTATGGCAGACAGACATGCTGTCCCGATTTAGCCCCCCGACGCGACGTCATCCAGAGTCTATGACGCAACACTACCGAGGAGACATATAACTGCACCCTGATGTGCAGGCATTCTCGTACACTTCCTCCTCCCAACTCCCATCCTCTCGCACTCATCTAGTTGATCACGGCAGGCGTTGCCGTGGACACTTGTATTGCTAAGGTGAGCCATCGGACTGTTCATCAATTCCCAGAAGCAAGGGTAGGCCCCTTCGCAATGCATATATGCACATCGGTGTAAAGGTACGTCTCTAAGGAGGTTGGGACTTCACTACGGTACGTCACTATGTCTTTATTCACGGTAAGTCTTCATAACCCGTAAATACGGCCATCATTAGTGAGTGTACAATTCGAGCCCCTGTCGCGGTAACAGTAAGTCTTCGCTGTATGACCAATCACTAGGGTTAGGGTAGCGGGACGACTCAATTTGCCCTCAGTATAATATATGTAGTAGATACATGGTCATCTTTGATAATATATACGTGATATGTGCCGAATTCAACCATAACCGCCATCTGTGTGAGAAAAGTGACGTCCCTGATTTATATGATCTGGCAAAATGTGAGACAATCAAACCTATCTAAAGGGAAGCTCGAGACTTGAAGCTCTTCGGCACAATCGGTGGTCTCGATTGGCTTCGATTGGCCCCATTGGCTTCGAGTACAATACTATACCCCTATTGGATAACAATGGAATCAGAGAGAACTTAGCATGCTTATAACAATCGGATGGACAACTTGTACGGCATTTTCTTGAACGGCTTCAAACATGCTGCAAGCCAATCAAAATGCAGTTTTGCTGATGATGGACCTAGGATGTACACGTGGCTCCTGTTGTGGCCGCAGCGGAAAAAGCGTACTTGAGCCGCAGTCAAGGCTGCTCCGGTGTTCATCAATCCCTGACTTGAGACCGGTTGGGGGGAACAAGGGCCCCAAACAAGGCGGAAATATGTCAAACGTTTGGAGAATCAAGTCGGGTCGGTCGCCATGCATGCGCGAGCCAGCTGCCCGCCCTGTGTGGCCCTGATCAAGATTCGGTGCTGACGGCCACGCGAGCAACCTTGATGGTGATCCATCTCAGATCATCCAATGCCACGTGGCTCATCAGTTCGCACGCCCAACTCAACCGCTCGCCCAGCGCTTCCGAAATGCTTCGAGCTCCCACTTCAACACCGCAGGCGACCCACCGAAGCAGCCTTCGGATGAGCCATGAGCTAAAGAACCAACTCTGCATTGTTAAGGAAGCTGTTATATATACCAGGTGACGTATGGATAAGTTCAACCAGCTGACTCGTGTGTCCGATTGAATCCCAGCGCTGTTTCACTGTGGTCGGAATTTCATCACTGTGTGCCATGCTGAAATCGAAATTTCCTTCTAGGTTGCAGCGATGGCTTGGAATCATACGGTGATTTCAACCGACACAGCACTATAATCTCAATAATTGCGTGCAGAGTCTGACTGTGGTGGGGACAGGTAGCTCTGCCGTCGCCTGACTGTCTAAAACATCGAGGCCATCCGAGATGTCCGACGGGACCTTCCATGCTGACCTTCCTCCTCTTTCCTGCCTTTCCGTTCCGCAAGTAACTGACTAAGCTCTCGGATCTGTCTGCCAGTGCAATGTCTCAATCCTCAGATTCCAAGTACCTTACAGACAACTTGGGACTACGAGCTCCTAGCTCACCTACGTATGTTCAAGCGTTTGGTGAGTCCCTTGTATATATACGGCGTGCACTATGGCTGTCTGCTCTCAGAATCTAGCAGCTACTCTTCTCGGCCCTTCATCCATCGCAGTAGAAGCCTCACTCAACCAACCTCTACACTCTACACGATGAACCCCTACGGACAAGGATGGCAAGGGCAGCAGGGCGGCGCCGCCCCGTCGATATTCGGCGCACTCCCTTCGCTTCCCGCCTCGAGCAACAGCAGACCACTTCAGGGCGACACCGTCACATTCCAGTTTACCAACTTCAAGACTACCATCTTGAACTCGACCGTGTACGGGCCCCAGCAGCGCACCTGCTACCGTATTGTTACGGAGGACTCGGCCCCGGCGTGCACGATCTTCAAAGACAACGAGAGTCGTAACATCGCCATGATTCAGTGGCAGCCCAACGTCCAGCTCGAGACTCGAGGCTCTGGCTCCAGAGTCCGTGTCCGGGACTGGCTGCGTCTCTCATCGGACCAGAGGTGAGGGCTATTCCAGACATCTCTTTCCTAGGGATCCACACTGAGCTTATCCCATGACCCGCAGCCGACGAGTTATGGACATCGGCGGTGTCCAGTACGCTTGGGCGCCGATGGAGGGTTTCATTTGTGTATGTATATGACTCTGGTGCTAACGCGAGGAACGGTTCTGACTTGTGTCTGCATTGACTAGCTATACAAGGTCCAAACCAGCGCCCCGAAGGTGCTCGGCCGCATTGCACGAGTGCCGAATATGGTGACTCTTGAGTTGACCCAAGAAGCCATGCAACTTGGATTGCTGGAACCCTCGCTTACTGCGACCGTCCTGCTCAGCTGCGGCCACAACATCGACTAGATTGCATGGGACCGCCTTCGGTGCTTTGCACAGCCGTATGTGCGAAGACCGGATTGTGGGATGGTCTAGACGTCGACAATGACGGCCTCCAGCCGGACCTACATTTCTTGGAACACCTTGTGCATATCCACGTAGAATTTCTTGGTCGCCTCGTTTTCTTGCTCATCACATCGTCTCATAGAACATAGATTCCACTCCATCACTGTATTGTATAGTCCTGAGACCTTCTTGTCTGCCCGGAACGCACCCTCCGGCTCTCCGTTATGTATTCATACTGTCGCCATCGTGAGCCTTAGCATTACCTAGCAGCTCTCTCCAATAATATATTACGATGTTACCAATCACCCTCCTCCGTGCGAAATGGCATACGTCTATCAGTCACCTCGCGGTCACTAAAAGGATGCGCAGCACAGATATCGGGACCCTCTGACTATGGCTCTGACGTAGTGGACACGTATGTGGAATGACGACCAACGACTCGAGCGTACAAAATTGCCGCCGAACTTAGGTCTCTCCGATGTGGCCGGGATAGCCTCGGCGGTTACTGAGGTAAATCCTGATGTGCCTCGCTTGCGCCCAGATAGCTCTCATTAGGCCGCCGTGTCGGGTCTTCGGCACAGTCAGACTCATACTACATAGCAGCTGTTGGAACCGTCTGGGTGGATTATCGTGGTGTCAACGCAAATCTGGCCACGTCAGTCTCCTCACCTTCTTTCCGATAATTCGGTAATCCGATGTTCAGCCGTAGGTTAGAGTGCTCTCGGGTGCGCTCTTCCTTGGTGAACAACCGTGACGGCCGATATCAGAGCAATGGAAAGTGGTGTAAATACGGACTTCAACTTGTAAGTAGTCGGATCAACCGAAGCTCCGACCGGGGCATCCGGTCTTTAAAGATATACCGGGTCGAAGCTGAGAAGACCCTTGAGTCGCCCATGGCTGACACCGCGATGCTGGATCAATAGCTAACGATACTTGCCGCGCAAGGCTCGGCTGACGTTTTCAGGCAACAAATGGTGGCTCGGAGGCACAGAAGGCAACCTGGACCGATTGGCTTGAAGATGCGACGGGCAGTGTATTAATGTAATGTGAGAGGAGTAATGCAAGATTAGGTGTTGTAAGGTAGTAGTCCAAAAGTCTGAGTCGTAAGTCTAGCTAGTCGCGTGTGTTGATAGTTATCTGGTGTACTGACGTTGGTGAAGACGCTATGGATATGTAAAATCGAGAAGTTGACAAAGTCAATAGAAATTGTCGTTAGACCTGTGCGCTAACGCCACCGGTCATTACCAGAACTCGGCGAATCGCCGCGAAACCCTGCAGTTCCCAAGGCAGTCTGTAGGAACAGACGACTGCCGGATGCCTCGAGTGTACGCAAAGCCCCATCCTTCATCAAACGCGAACACCTCTCCGAGATAGCCTCAGGCCTGCTCACCACAAACACCCCGCCTGACGCGACCGCGGCTATGCGACACACGATCGCACGTACCATGCAACACTGATTCCAAGTCCCCGACAGACCCATATCCCACTTACGCAGGAAAGTCTGCTCAATACTCGGCGTAACGCTCTACATGGGCGAGACAAGCGCGTCGAGCCGCCATTCCGTCCGGAGGCGCTGACACAGGTTCTTGAACGTTGACACGCTCCCCTTCTCTAGCGCAATTCCGATCATCGTGTCGTACCCCGCCGCGCCCGGGACGTTGTCCGCCATCCTGTTCCTCGTCGACGCGGTCGGGAACGCCCCGATCGGGGACGACACGCCCCCAGCGCTGCCGGAGCATGACGAGAACTCGACACGGAAGCGGACCTGCTTCTGGCCGCTGAGCGACGTCCCGTCGTGCGTGTGCGCCCCCTCGTCGACGCGGCAGAGGAGAACGGAGAGTCCGGTCTTGTCCTCGGTCGAGACCAGAACGCCGAAGTGTTCAAGGAGCCGTGTGGTCTCCGCGCGCGTCGTGGCAACATCTAGGATGGAGTAGAGGCAGAGCGTCTGGACGCGCCAGTGGAAGAGATTCGAGAACCAGCCCTTGAACTCGCCGACGCCTGGAGAGAGCGCCGAAGCAGGCCCGGGGGAGGTCACGCGGGTCGGAGAGCCCATCGAGAACGTGGACCGTTTCTGGAGGGGAGCCGCATTGCTGAAGTCGAGCGGAGGCGCTATAGAGGTTGTGGTCAGCGTCATAGGACCGCAGCGCACCGATGTATATCACTCACGCCTGTGTTTCTTCTCCCTCTTGCCACCATGCTGCTGGCTAGTTGGCGACTCGTTAATGAACAGCATATTCCCCATCTCCTTCGCCATCGGGACAGAGTGTCCGAAGCCAAGCCCTCCGGAGTGGCACGCAGGATCATGCTGGACAGGGCGGGTGGCAGGCGCAGCCCTGTTTTCCTTGTTCTCAGACCCTGGAGCTTTGGCCCAACCGTTGTCAACGCGATGTTCCGGCGCAGACCAGTTCGCGTGACGACGCGAAGGCGCCTCGTCCAGAGACGGACGATGCTCGGGCCGCCGGATACGAGGCTGCAGCATAGGTGCGTTCTGGCCAAAGTTGCGTCGAGTCTCTGGCGGTTGAGGACCATCGGCGGCGCCGTAAGAGGGCACCCTGCCCTGGGGATGGCCATGCACGCCGACATCTGTTCTATCCGACAAGGGAGACATGGGCGCAACTGCAGCAGAGACGGGGACCGGCGAGTGAATGCGTTCAGGTGCGCGCGTCGACCGTTGGCGATTGTCAGACGAACGATCACGCAGAGCTTCGACAAGTGAAATCGGTTGCTGCGGAGGCGTAGGCTGACGGAGGCGAGGAGTAAGAGCTGAGGCCCTCTCTCGAGGTTCATTTGTAGAACCAACAGTTTGGGAACGGATACGAGCGTGGTCCGGGTTTGGAATGAACGAGGACGGAGGGCTCCCAACAGCAGGTGTGTTGGACACGGAATTCCTGCCGACTGGCAGGCGCGACTTCTGAGGCCTTGGTCCCAACGGCGAAGACGGACGGGATCGCCCAACGGGACGTTCATTGTTGATGTCAGCGATTGCGGCCGGAGGTGGCGACGGAGTACGGGAAGGAGGAGCAGGAGCGGGGCGGTCAGAACGCAGATACTTTGACGCCGGGATAATCGGGCCAGAGAGGGCTGATTCCAGTGAGCGACGACCAGCAGGCTTCGAGCGAGGTGCAGCATATTGCTTGGTGACAACCTTGCCTTGAGTGTTAAGAACCTCCTCAATGTCCATGAGGATGCCGTGCTCCTGCATCGTCATCTCGCGGTGCTTCTGCAGCAAGAAGTAGAACGCCTTAGCAAGAGTACCTTGACCAGCTGAGCTTAGAAGATCACGTTGGATAGCGTCCACATCAGCATGACGGCCCCAGATGACGCAAAGAGACTCGAAGAGATCGCGGTCGATATGCAGCGCAGAAGGAAGAGGTCTAGCCAATTCAAAGACAGGGGGCGCCGGGACGTAGGTGATACCAGGAGTGACGCCCTCGAGCCAAGGATGAGCCAGAATGTCAGCCATCTGTCAAGGAAAGTCAGGATGACCAGTACAGAAGCGAGCGCGATACATACAGAAATCCGCTGGTTGACGTCCACAACGAGCATACGAGACAGAAGATCCTTCGCCATAGGGTCGACGAAGCCAGGCATCTCATACTTCCCAGTCTTGACCTTGGTCAACAGAGTGCGAACGTTCTTGTCGTCGAAAGGCAGGCGCCCAGTCAAGAGAGCATACAAGATGACTCCGCAGCTCCAGATGTCAGTCGCAGTCCCGCAGTACTTGTGGCCATTGACAATCTCCGGGCTCGCATAGTGAGGGCTGCCACAGCTAGTTTCCAGTTGCAGACTGGGCGGAGCGAAAGCAGCCATGCCCCAGTCAGCGATCTTGATGAGCGGCGGATTCAAAGAGTGAATCAGGATGTTCTCCGGCTTGAGATCACGGTGGATGATAGAGAAAGTGTGCGCATAGTTGAGCCCATAGACGATCTGCTTGAAGTACGCGAGCGCCTCGAGGGGCGGGAGCCGGCCGCGGTTCACGAGGAAGTCGAAGAGCTCGCCGCCCTCGACGTACTCGAGGATGAGGTAGAGTTCCTTATCGCCCTCGTAGACGTCGTATATGCGCATGATGTTCGGATGGTTCATGAGCTTCATCATGATGATCTCCCTGTCGATACCGAGGCGTTGCTTCTCCGCCTTGGCCTGCGCGTTCGCCGAGTTGCGCGAGGACAGGAACGGCTGGAGGGGGAGGATCTTGATGGCGGCGAGCTGGCCAGTCCGGCGGTGCTTGGCGATCTTGACATGGCCACTGGCCCCCTTCCCGACGCACTCGCCTATGATCCAAGGACCGACGTACTTCGCGTCATCTGGGTACTCGAAAGCGTTCGATCCTGCGGCAGCTTTCTCCTTCTGCCACCGAGTGCCGAGGGGCGTCGCATACTTGACCGGCGGCGCCCGGGGAGGACTATCGACAGACTCGGCCATCGCGGGCTTGAAGTGGACGCTAGAGATGTGGAAAACGAGAAGTTGAAAAGGATAGTAAAGTAGAAACTGTGCTAGGTATCACTTGCAAAGGCGGACAGGGATGGCGGCTGTCGTCGTCGTCGACCAGCACGACCGAGCGTAAGGAAGAAAGCCAACGTCGACCGGCCGAGGACCTTCACGGCGGAGGCTGCCGGTTGGACAAACAACGGCCAAACAATTTGCTGTCTCGTAGCCACGTGGGCTGACAACACAAACTAGCGTAGATTAACCATTCCGCCACATGCTATAATCAGTGTTAGGGATCGTACATATAGAAAGTGTCCCAAACGAGTGTCCCAGAGAGAATATGCAAGGAGTACAATAATAGATGCAATACCAATACCTGTCACCGATCATACCAAAATCACAGCGAGTAGCAACGCCAAAAGGACGATTATCAGGAAAATGATACACCAGCCAGACTTTGTTTCTAAGGTCCAGGAAGTCAACGGTCATCAACGCGAAAGCGAAGAGAAAAACATACCCTCTGTCTGGCGGATGAACTTGCGCATCCTGTTCATGGCTGAGCCGAGCTTCGCCTCCGACCGGTCGACACCCCGCTCAATATCCTCGAGCATTCTAACAAGTAACGTCAGAGGCGAGCACCGATATGTTATGAGAAAATCAGAGCAAATGCGCACTCATTGTGTTCGACGATCTCGCGTCCCATCAAACCAGCTTGCTCGTGGATGGTGTTTAATGTCCCAGCAATAGTGTCGATGGTCTCGTCCTGCTGCCGTATCATGAGCTATACAACAATGCTCGTCATCAGCACAATTCAGTCAGAAAAACCCAAGAACCACCTACCTGTTGCTCCTGTCGAGCCCACTCCGCTTGGCTATCCTCGTGTTCTGCGCCCGACTCCACAGCGCGAGCCGAAGCACCAAGCATGGACGCAGGCCGTGACCGACGACCGCCCTCGACCTCTGCGCGCATGTTCTATCGCACGCCTCGCATTAGACACGATGCAAAACAGTGCAAACGCGACGCAAGAAACACACCACAGCTCGAGACCTACCTCGATTTCCTGCCGTACATGGCTCACGTACCGCCTCCGCTCGATGACCTCAGTCTCCTCCAGACCAAACAGTCGTGCTCCCGTACTCTCGACAACACTGTCCAAGCGCCACATCAGTTCTCATCAATATGTGGAGTCCGAGGAATGTAGGAGACTCACTTCACACTCTCCTCCAGATCCTCCAAGTCCGCTTCCAAAGCCGCAAGCGTCGCCTTCAGCTATATGCACCCCTCCGTCATTACTCCTCACGCCCACACACGCACTATTGCGAAGTTACGCACCTCATTCCGCGCCCACACGAGCTCTTCGCTATCCTCCCGCGCCGTGCTGCGGATGCGGAGGTACGACGCGCGGAGCGTCGCCGCCGTCTGCAGAGACGACTGGATCTCCTGCTGCACCGCGTGGTACGGGTCCGTCGACATGTAGCTTCGATAACTTCAAGCGAGAACGAAAGGGCTGAGCGAGGATATGCGGGAGCGAGTGATCTATGTATATGTGGCCGAGGCAGGGTCCACGCGGGGAAGCGCTGCCGAGGGGAGGTGGAACGGCTCGAAGCGCAGTGATGCTTTGAGTGGTCGCGTTTGTCTGGCTGTAGCCCGTATGAGAGCGACAACTGCCAGGGTAGCAGGTAAAGGAGCGTGTGGACTTTCGGAACGGACTCGAAGAAGTGGTAGAAGAGGGCGCGGCACAGGTTGCGGACGTCGACGGTCTCGTTCGACTGCGCGCAGGCATTCAATAGCGCCCACTGTAACACAACATGTCTCAACGGCTCAACGGAAAGTTGCGAGTCAGTACGATTTAGAAACAAAGTAGTATTGTATTGAATCCAGCTAACGTAAAAACAACAACTAGAAATTTCGAAAAACGACAAACAAAGAGTATGAGCATACAGATCATAAACCTCCCCGAACTTGACCAATGCACAAGAATACAACTTCAGCAGACTACGAACAGATGACTACGAGATGCCCACCACATATCATATCGTACATCCACCTCCATCCGAACAGAGGGATTCGGACATATCAGCATCACGAGTGTGACGTCCAAGGGGATCTGCCAACGTCAACGGCACGCCAACCAGCCTAAGTAGCGTTCGCAGCCGGGGCCGTCCCGCGCTCAACATCCGGCTGCGGCGGTCCCAACCGTCCAAACACACTCCTGAAGATCCCTCTCAGCCTGCGTTGCTCAGCCTCAGAAGCGGGAGGGGGGACCGCAGGTGCACTCGCGGGTGGGGCCGCGACAGCAGGCGGGATGTGGTCTTCGAGGTCGGTCGACCCGCGGTGCTCGTCTTTCTCGGGAGGTGTGGTCGTAATGCGGAGAAGAGAAGTATACGCTGGAATTAGGGAAGTAGACAGGAGATTAGCAGGTAAAGAAGGCGGGGAAAGAAGATGGGAAGCTTACGTTGACGGCACACGGGGCAGAACCAGCCTTTGGCCTTGCGCTTCCGCCGAGGGCTTGCCTGAACGGGGGGGATAGCAGAGGCGGGAGCGGGAGTTGCGGTTGCACCGTCGCTGCCGGTCGTCGCTGCGCCTTCTGTGGCGCCCTCAGTGGCGGCACCCTCGGCGACGGCGCCCTCAGCAACCGGAGTAGTCTCGCTCTCGTTCTGCACTATGGTACCACCAGCGCCGAATTCAATCATGTTCAGCGCGCAGTCGCGGCACGCGACAAGATGGCGACATGGAAGCAGGACGACCTCGCGGGGTGACGACAAGCAGAGGAGGCACTCGGACGACGGCTCGTCATCTGTGGTGGTGGCAGGTGCGGTAGGTGGGTAGGTGTGTGTATCCAATTGAGCTGTAGGGGGAGGTGCGGTAGGCTGGGAGGATGTGGTCGAGTTAGCCGAAAGGCCATAGATCTCGTGGAGGTGGAAGGTGTGGAGTCCGATCTAGAGTATTCAGGGATGAACACGCCGTCTACGAGGAGGGCCCGAAGACAACCTACCGTAGCTTCACGCTTGACGACCTTGACAACCCACGGCCGCTTGTCCTCTTCTTCCTCGGCGCCCTGCACCGGAGTGGGCGCCGCCCCAAAGCGGACGACATGCAGGTACGTAACCTGCTCGTTGGGCGACGGAAGGTCGTTCCCGTTCTCGTCCACCGCACTCAACCGAATAGTGACCCGGACGCCCTCCTCTTCCTCCTTCTCGTCCTTAAACTTGCCCTCTTCATGGGCAGGCTGGGCGTCGGCATCCAGAACGGCGAGCGCAGGCCCAGCGACGTTGCGGTCTTGGTGGCGCTTGCGGAAGTGGAAGTTCGTGAACCTCTTCTTGCGCTGATGAGGAGCTTCGGACGCAGGCGTCTCGGCCGGGGACGATGACTTCTCCTTCTCAGGCTCGGTGGAGGTGGAGGGCTGCGCAGCATCGGCCGATGGAGACGATGCCCGCTTGTGGTCAAATCGTCCCAGCTCGAGCATCGCCCCGTCTTCGAGCTTGAGCAACTTGCCGAACCCGCCATCGGTGATCGTCTCGAAGACGAGCAGCTTGGAGAGGCCGGAGACGTCGGGCTTGCCCGCTAGGGGGTGCTTGGGGGACAGGTGGACGTGCACGCGGATGGCACATTTCGGCGCATCACAGTCATACTCGAACTCCAAGGCGTGATGATGCTGGGAATCGACATGGTCGGCATCTTCAGAAGCATCATTTTCCAGGGGTGATAGTCGCAAAGTTGGCCTCTTGAGGTTCACCAGTGCTTGCAGTGTTGTGGTAGAGTAGTGGGTCTGTCACGACAAGATGTGAGCAACATGTCGGGATATTACAACAGAAGGCCCATGGGCAACTGGTAACGACATAAAATGGACAATTGAGACGTGATCCACGACCATAAATAACACATGTCAGAAGTCATGCGCAGCATGCGGACACCTCGGGCTATTCGTTGTGGTCGAGGCGGTACCAGGAACAGACGGTCGTCCTGAAGCCCACGTACGCGTACACGGTGGACTGTGCGAGGAAAACGTCCCAAGCTCGAATCAAGGCAGGGAAACCCAGATGTGCGCAGCGTATCAAGGAGCTCCTGATACAACACAAAGGCGGGATGTGCGGCACAGGATGCATAGATTCCGACATTGAGGCGAACAATGCACAACACCATGTCTGAGACACAATGTGCATAGGAAGGCGGTCGTGTGGGACGGCCGGAGCCTGCTGACACCAAGATTCCCATACCCCGGGAGGGACGGAGACACTGACCTCCTTGCTCTTCGCAATCCAGCCCTTCACAATCTCGGGCGTAAGCACATCCGAGCTCTTGTCCTGGCTCTCCGTCCACTCCGGGCCGCCGCCAAGCACGCCGATGTTGGGCCCGAAGAGGGTGTCGTTGCCCTTGCTGCCCGCAGTCGCTGCGGCGGCCTGCGCCGTGCCCTGGCCCTGGGCGGGAGCCGGGGTGCCCATGTCGATGACGACGGGGTTCTGGGATGCCATGCGTGTCGCGGTGCGGGAGGTGTTTGTATCCACACGGGCGATGTACGGCTGCTGGTGGATGCTCCGAACCCGGTTCCAAGACGAGTACTGATGGTTGTCTGTGCAGAGTCAGAGGCGGCGAGCGTCCGGGAAGGGACGGTTGCCGCTAGCCGTTAGTTCGAGGAGCAGAGTCGAGACGAGATGAAAACAGTTACGCACACCAGGCGGCAAAGCTGGCCATACGACGAGGCGAAGGGGGAGATCTATGTAGTCTGAGAGAGAGGTTGGAGGCGCGGAAGGTGTAGCAGCCCCTCCCCGCATCCTGTCTAATCTTAGATCTCCACATTTGTCAGTGGATTGACTCGATTCCCCGGCACTTTCTCCCGCGTCCGCAACACACGAGTCATAAGCACCTAGAATATCAAACAAGAACATACGAGATATTCAGCTCATAGGAGGCTCCAACTTGTCGTCAATTCGAGGACGACCTGCATCCTCACTCGTGCATATCCGCAAGCATCTCGGCGGAGAGCCTTCGAGTTTTCGGGGTCCGTTGGTCCTCGTCGTTCCGGGCAACTCGCAAACTGCGCAATCGTGGGCGTGTGAGACAACGGTACAGAAGGCGCAGCGCAGTACTCCATGTGTAGACAGCTGCAAAACGTCCGGGAATGACATTGGCCAGAGACCAAAGTCTCCCACTGTCAAGGTGACCAACGTCCAGATTTTATGCTCCGCCATGGTGTCGCCATCTCGTCGTTCGCAGGATATAAAGATGGGTCCATCATTAGCGCGAGAACTTACAACTTCAGCTTCTGGTGTAGAACTCAGCACGGGACGATATCTGAGAGCGTGGGCCGGTCATTGGCCGATCACATCACACATGCAAGATATGGTGCTTTTATACAGCATGAATTGCATAGAATGCCTTGCAGTGTCATATCATATGCATGGGAGAGCTAGTCGTGGGGAGTGTAAAAAGACAGCAGCAAAATACATAACTACGCGATGAGCTTGACAACACCACCCGCCTCCTTAATCTTTGCCCTAGAATTCGGAGGCACCGTGTAAGTCACCAGCAGATACAGGACAAGGACGCGATACGCACTCAGCCTTCCGCGAGACGAAGCGGGCTTTTAGGATGAAGGGAAGCTTGGGCAGCCTGTAGCAACGGACATGAGCAATGTTCGGGGTGTATGGTGAGCGGGCACGTAGGATGGTCGCGATCCAGCAAGACATTTGCCTCTGCGCAATCCTACCCTCGCGCACTCGCATCACTCGATATGAATCTAATACTCACTGGCCGTTACCCAGAACCTTAGCATAGCCGTGCTGGAGGGTGTCGATCACAGGGACGACCTCCGAGCTCTCAGTGAGACCCTCCTTCTCCTCTGCGGGCACAAGCGTCCAGAGCTTGTCGACATTGATGATTGGGCGCCATTGGAGGTTGCGAGTGAGGTGGAAGCGGCGCATACCAACCTTACCGAAGTAACCGGGGTGGTACTTGTCGAAGTTCGTCCTATTGGTGTTGAATAACGCATCGGAAGATTAAGATCGCATGGAGCAGGGTGTGATTCCACGGGAGAGGGGGAGAGCATGTATGAGTCTTGGGACGATGGGATAGGTGATATCTGAGGACGCACCTGTGGTGGTGCTGGCCACCAGCGAGACCGCGACCTCCGGGGTGCTTGCGGTGCTTTCCTACACGACCGTGACCGGCCGAGACGTGGCCACGGTGCTTGCGAGTGTTGGAGAACCGCGTCGGCATTTTCTACGGCACGCAAAGTCGTCAGCGCCTGATCCTGTCCAAGTCCATCTGTCCGCCCCAAGACCAATCCACCGTCGAAGTCCGTCCAAACGCGAGCAAAATCATATCCAAGGGGAAGCACGAGAGCAGCAGGATCCAGCGGGAACGGTCTTGAGCCTGAGATGGACGTGCACTTACCTTGAGGGAGGCGGGAGTTGAGGGCGTATACGACGGGGCCTTGCTTGCACGTTAGGATTTCCTGGCGGGTGGCTGGGTGCTTGGCTGTGTTTGGCTCATCAGACGCCGATGCGTATGTCGCGAAGAAAGGCTCCCAGAAAGTGCGCGTATGCTTTGCGCTTGCTCACTCTCGTTGTAAAGTGGATCAGCTGGTGAGTACGCTTTCTGCTTGGGTTTGGATGATGCTGGCTTCATAGAAGTCTCCATATTTATTGTCGATGAATCTCCATGATCCCAAAATGTGTCCTGACTCCTACTTGGTGCAAGTTTACGTTTGCAAGACTGCAGCTCGCTGACATTTTGTCTACCCACGTAGGAGAATCCCGCTCTCGGCCCCCTCCATTTACCACTCTGTCCGTAGTTAGTCGTCATGAATGCCATCAATCGATACGAGCTATACGTTCTTGATGAAGGGGAGAAGTCGTGCGTGATTTCTCATCAGAGTCCCCCTGAGCCGTCGAGCTCACCACGCTTGCTCAAATCCAACAGTGTAGAGGTGACTGAGGACACCAAAATCCCTAATGCCGCGACAATCAAGATCGTGAAGCAGGACCACACACTTGCGAACCTCCTACGCTCGTACGCCCCTTCCCTCTCGTAGAATCTCTGGTTCATGAATAGCTAACGTCGTCGCATCCTCCGTCTCAGACAACTCCTCGGCTACCCGAGCGTCCTCTTTGCTGGCTACAAGGCCCCCCACCCTCTCCAACCCCATTTCCTCCTGAAGATCCAGACGGACGGTAGCATCACCCCTGCCGCGATCCTCGAGAAGGCGTGCACGGATCTCATCGGTATGGTCGCGACGCTTGAGAGCAAGTTCAAGCGCGAATTCACGATGAACAACGTTGAGGGTGGCGTGCAGGAGGACGCATATGGCGTGCCAACCTCGGGAGCGCAGTGGGAGAGTGGCGGATCGTACGTAGATTTGGGTTAGGGTGGGGCCTGGAGAGCGGTCGAGAGAAGGTGGCAGGTGCGGATTTGTATCATATCCTGGAGCTAATGCTTGTATTCTAGTCCTGTTGTTGCAATGGTTATGTTGCAGCTCTCATTCTCTCGTTTGCTTGGAGTGTTAGCCCGAACGCTCTGGTCCTATGCCTACCGTGACCACATTGCTACCACGCCCTTGTATACCCACAAGCTGGGTTGAGTACAAGGGATCTTTGCTTCCCGGTGATAGCAAAAAGGGAGCGTAACATGACGAGTCTTTCCGAACGGATGCCGTCAGCGCCGCAACACAGAGTGCCATCCTCAGGTATTTTCTCTGCTGGCAATCGCTATGTCACGGAGTCTCTCGTTGAGCATCTATTTATAGCCCCCTATACAGCTCAACATGACATTCCTCTGTCTATTCTCGTGCTCCATGCGACGGGCAAACTGTCGTCTGAACGGCGGATGTATCTCGGAATCGCCAGGTCATACCGCCTCTATTCTGTGCTCGGCACCGCGAGAGAAGGCTATCATTATCGTCGGCTTCTGCATACCTGTGCTCTTTGCGGTGTTCTGGTATGTTCTTTCCGTGCCGATGTTTTGTGTTGTGTGCACGGCATGGGTCCGCGACGTCCACGAGGGGCACTATGATCGTCGAAAGGAGAGACGCTGTTGTCGTCATCGTGCTTCGGAATTCGAGGGGCACGCCTCCCTACCGCACAACGCCTGCGTCGTGCTATTTTCGTAGGCAGTCCTGAATGTGGTTGACATGATAGCTATGCTGCGGATGCGCAGAACAGCTGAGCAGCCGTACGGTATCCTCGGATATACCCAGGATCTTGTACGTCCCTTCTGGGGACGACATGGAGGGCGACGATGTATCAGTCGGTTTATCCTCCTACGACGACCACCGGCAGAAAACTGCACTGCACTTGGAGTATATAACTTACCTCGTGGTGAGGGCCGACTCCAGGCTCTCAACCTCTGACTTTACAATGAAGGCTATCTTCGCAGCCCTCGCGGTCTTCTCCGCTCAGCTCGTCGCAGCTCACTGTGAGCAGATATTGTCCGTTGGTTGTCGTAGCTGACCCATGCTTATTTGGACAGACACTATCCCCGACCTCATCGCAAACGGGACTACCTTCGCTGATTGGCTGTACGTCCGCGAGACAGAGAACCACTACTCCAACGCGCCGGTACGCGACCCTGACTCCCATCTCCTGGAGGGATGAGGACCTTCACTGATCGTGGCTCCACGTGTAGATCACGGACGTCAACTCGACAGAGTTCCGCTGCTATGAGCTCGACATGGACGGCACCCCCGGTCAGACTAGCATCGCGACCGTGGAAGCCGGCTCCACTATCGGCTTTAAAGGTGAGCTAATCCTGTTGTCTCCTGTCATACGGCACGAATCACTTACGCAGACGCTCTGCGCAGCGGTAAGACGCGACAATCATAAGCGGAATTATTGACATTGAATGATTGACACGGGCGTGCTCGACAGAACGACGACTTCTACCATCCAGGTGTATGTTCAGCCAAGCGGAGATGAATACAACCGAAAGCTTACGTTATTTTTGCCGGTGACAGTACTTCGACGTGTATATGAGCCCTGCCTCTCCCGCGGCCAACAGCCCTGAGGCGGGCACCGGTCAGACCTGGTTCAAGGTTTGGGAGGACCTACCTACCTTTGAGAATGGACAGCTCTCCTTCCCCCTCGAAAGTAAGCCTGCAATCGGACACATCGTCACTTTAGCAGACGCAGTGCTCACTTGTGCTTCCTGGGTCTGTCAGCTAGCGACCAGTTCACTTTCACAATCCCGAAGAACCTGCCCAGCGGCCAGTACCTCATTCGCGCAGAGCAGGTATGTGAAAGGGTTCACCTCGAAGCGATGCCAACGGCTAGCTCACGGAGCGGCCACCGCTCGCGTCCGGCGGCATCGGTATGATACCCCCTTGCCCTGAGCAATGACAGGTCGTGTCACCGTATCGAGGGCGGTGGCGTCTCGGAGAATGGCTGACAAGAGCATACTGACGGGTCCTCACGTTGTAGATTGCCCTGCACGTCGCCTCGACCTACGGGGGCGCTCAGTTTTACGTCAGCTGCGCCCAGGTTAACGTCGTAAATGGCGGTGATGGCACACCTGGACCGCTCGTTTCCATCCCTGGTGTCTACACGGGCGTGAGTAGCTTGCTGTTCAAGTGCACCCAATCGCGGGCGTAGTGGGAGCTGACGTTGCTTGACCACCTTGCTCGAATGGTTCAGTACGAACCGGGCATCTTGATCAACATCTACAACTTACCGGAGGACTATCCTGGATACACGGCCCGTAAGTCTCTGCATAGTGGCTTCGTACAATCGCTTCCTTGGGATGCTGACGGTTGGCGGTTTTCTGCGACTCGATACTGTCCTGTCGAAACAATGTCGTTGCATCGATCTGTTGCAACTACTCAGCTGGACCGGCGGTCTGGAGCGGTTAAGCAGGAATGATCATCGTAGGATGGTGTTTCTAGAAGTGGCATGTAGCAAGGAACATCCGCTGCACTCATGTACACAAGCATTCGATGTCTACCACCTGTCAAGAAGGCATGTGCAGTACTGGAATCGCCGCCTCATCCACGTCAGTACTACCCGTTGCACATTGGGTTCGTATGCTGTCAGGTGGTGAGAGTGGCGTAGGTCAGGATGCGTCTCGTAGTCCATAAGAGCCCATACGTGTCATACATAGTGCGAAACACGGCGGGTATGTCAGGCGTTGAGTATAAGGACGATCCGATCTGCCGGGTGAGATCAGAGCTGATATAGAGAGGCGGCTGCGGAAATTACTTATTCTGATTGCGTGTAAACAGAATGTTACCATACAAGGGCAAGTACTTCGCATCTGCCGCCCAGCGGCGCTCGGCGCTCGGGACATGACATGCGAGAATGCCCAACTCAACCGGATAGATGGCGCCGTCTCTCGCCAGCATACTTACTGGCAGGTTGGCAACCTGTCTCAACAGCCCTCCCACTTCTTTTCTTCCCCCCACCTCCCTCGTCTGTCGTCCGTATGAGACGTTGTTCTTCAGCTTCTCCGGACCCCGCTGTCACTCCGGAAGCACTGGTTCAAGCACATGAGTGATACTAGTGCCGAACTGCTCTACCTCGCGCATTTCGCTCACACACAACGAGTACACCAGAGTGTGTGTCTATATTCAGTTCAATTCACATTTGCCCGACCAGAGTAAACCTAACCGCCCCTTCTTAGTTGCGTGCACCGCATTCTTGTTCTGGGATCTGAGCACGACTCTGGACGAGGAGGTGAGAGGATAGCTCTCCTTGTACGCTAATAGCCACTCACGGAATCTTCACCTCTTCCAGGTGGAGTACGTTTGGGGGTATGTGTGTAGCGTCTGAGGTATCCGCTCCTCCTAATTGGGAGTGATTCAGTTCTGCCAATACCTTTCCGAAGTACTTGTACTTCATATCCAGGTATCTGGGCTTGCTCGGACAATTGTGAGTTGTATGTCACCCAATCCCCACTCCCCTACATTTGCGAGGGTCGCGACTTGTCCCTGTGAAACCCACCTGCGCTCTGGCGGACAGAGGTCTGCGCGCCCGCGAGTTCTTATTCTCAGATTAGCACGGGCTAAGTCAGCCATTACGTGAAGATATTAAGCTTGTGTTGTGGGATGCCCTTGGAAGCGATTATGCTGGGGCTTCTTATACCCCATTCCTTCTTCTGTGTCGGTTTGACTCGAAGCCCGAACACTGATCGGCACCTTATAGTGTTCTCTCCACTAATGTGGTGCCAATTTTGTGAGTATCCCGTTATGCTCAGGCACCCGATACCCATGCTTCATCAGCTGCTTCGACTACCTCATGATTAGCTTCGGGTGCGCACGAGCTGTCAATGGCCAGATATTCAGCTACTGACCACTTTCTGTTTTAAGCTTTTTGCTCATGTTGATCCTGAGCGTGGAATTGAGCTTAATGCTCCGGATAGACGCGCTGTATGGCAATTCTAGAAGAGGTATTCGCTGTCCACTTAGCTACGGTTCGTTTCTGACGTCTCGTAGTGCGCTTCCTGTTGGGATTTGCGTTCTTGGGTGCGTTGTTCGGAGTCAGTGCGAAACGCCGGGGCTAACGAGAATCATAGTGGAGATGGCGGTGCGCTCGTGCCTCGTCACACCTAATTTGATGTGTGATTGACGGCGAACCTAGTTCTCGTTATGGCTCAACATGGCGTCCATTCCGTACATCACTCACCATCTAGCCGAGTTCCCTCCAGCTGTGCTTGTCAGAGGATGTCTCCTTGATAGAACCGACGTCATGTACGTGCTTGCTTGGTGCGTAGAATGCCTGCTCGGAAGCCACGGAAGCCGCTGATGAACTCTGCGGCGCAGGGTCCCCATCACCGTATTCGAGAGTGAGACAACTATTGCAGACACTGACACTATGCGCTAACAGATTGCGGGGGTTACAGCGATACTCTTTGTGCTGAATGCTATCAAGTGTATCTCATACAGCCCTTTGGACAACGCGCCGCTCATCTACCAACTCTTTCGCGACAGCAGCCTCTATTTCGCAATGTCAGTATATAGGTCCTCGTGTAACATGTACCCTGCTTACACGTGTGCTGTAGCGTCCTCCGTAAGTGCTCTTGGCGCAGCAAGTGAATGACAAAACGCTGAAGTTGCATCGCCAAGTATTTACTCTTTTCGTCACTATCGGCGAAGTTCTGTGGCCCGCTGCGGCGACGCCGGTGGTTGTGTAAGTATTCATGTGTGGAGTTACCCGACGCTACCTCACGTCCGCTATCTGGTATCATCTTGTAGGTGGATGCCTGCGGTCTTTTCATACTCCGTGCGTGACTTCCATGTTACTGCAATCTTTGCTGCATTGATATTCACCGCGTCATTTCATGACAGGGAAGTCACCTTCTTCTGAGTATCCGTAAAATCGCCGCCCGCCGGCAACGCTTGGAGATGACCTATACGGTCTCTGTCGGCATCCCACACATCCAGGCTGGTTTCAGCACTTCAGATTCGTCCTCTCTCGGCGATGACACACCTTCGCTCCCTCCACGTGTTTCCAGCGCGTCCCGCGTACGGTCATCCGTACAGGTCAACGTCGAAGCGATCGAACTCGTCCCCCGCCGCACGTCTCTTGTTCTGACGTCATACAGCGAGGAATCACAGGAAGGGACCTCAGCTTTAAGTTACACAAGGGATTGGAACGTTGTCTTTCCCGACAGCGTCCGGGAAATACATGTGGAACGCAGTAGGAGTAGAGGGCGTGTTTCGGACGATCCTGATTCCGGTGGCTTGCCGTGGCTGCAGCGTTGGAATCCCTAGCGCCATCCAGATATGTCGCGGACGGAGGGAGATTTTCGTGTATCATAGCTTTGGCCCGGATTTTTAGACCATGCCACTCATTCTGCATACAGTAAATTATAATCAACATGCATGTATCATCCATTACACCTACTAGTGTGACCCCAGAAGCTACTGACGCGCCTCCAGTTCTCGCATTCCCCTGTCAAAAAGGGTGCACAGGTTACACATGAGACAATGTACTTCCTAATTATTGGCTTCAAAAGGAACGAAGGAAATCGGAAGGGATTTGCTTCCGATACAAGTCAATCTGAGTAGGGTTTCCAGGGTTTACTGACCTTGGTGAGTTGCCACAAAAAGATCTGCAGGGCCGATCTTTCTCTAACTTTGCGAAGTGTTCTGAAAATGTTCAATGAAGTTTCTTGTTCAGTTTCCGAAGCATTCCGAGTTGTGGTATTCAAAGGATGGGAAGAGGTCTCGAGGGCGTGACATTCAGCCACTGACCGAAATACAGCTGACGTTTACAGCGATGTGCAGAATGATACGGAAAACGCATTTTTTGTGAGCCAGCGCCTGTTGGGCGCTCGGAGACCCAAACGCTGTGCCGGGCTGTCGGACACCAGGAAAGAGCCGGACACCGAGCGCTATCCTGGTCACAGTAGCCCTTCAGGATGGTCCCCCAAGGCTCATAATAGCAGATAGAGGAGCATATCAAAAATTATTATAACATATAAGGCATAATCTATGTCTCATGAAGCAATAACTAACTTGCCCAATGAAGAGAACTCGCATTTGTGCTTCAGGGCCAAGTGTCACACCTCTGTCACAATGAGTAACAAAGTCACAGCGGTCAGTGTTTGAGTCCCGTGACCGTCTGGCGTCTCTCTGAGCGCCGGTCTCGCGCGAAATGCGTTTTCCGTATCATTCTGCACATCGCTGTAATCTGAGCGCCTCGACAGTGTTGCCTCAGCCAACATCGCTATCAAACGACTGATAACAGCGGTGTTCGAATCGGCAGTCTTCGGCACCGTGACCATCCGTGACAATTTCTGGGCGCCTTTCCGTAGCTTCTGGGGTCAGACGTGTAATTCCGCGATGCTCAATGCAAACCTCCACCGATTGGCTTAATGTTTCACAAGTATGTACTATCTAGGATGCGAATGAAGTGTGCAAAGTCTGAAACGTATCAGAGAGGATGGGGGAGAGATATTCACGATATACGTTATGGGCCGTAGTTTCCGGGGTCACACTAGTATAGCTGATGTGCACACTATCGGGACCTCCCTCGCCGCTGGTTATTCGAGATCACACTGCAAACACTGACGCATGACTTGGCGTTGCCAAGCTACATACTAGTATGTAGTACTTGCCGGCGGAACTTGACAGGGCGCTAGTTCTCCCCGATCGGGCTCTCGTCCGCGGCGAGATTACATCGACCAAGAGGCACGAACGCAGATGTTCATGTGAATATTCTATGACGAATGGAGGACCACAGCCACCGCGATCAAAGTTTTGCAATCGGGAATCGTCGATAGCTAGTTGCAACCGACGGGCAGGATCAGGGTCCTTGCAGCGACATTGGTATTGAACAGTCCTGGGTCCACTCGTGCGCGAAAGAGTTGGCGCTAGTGTGATTGGTAATCAGCCCAGAAAACCCAGGTGTACGTCAGGTACTGCGGGCAACGGTATAACGCGGAATGAGCTGATATTAAATTCTGCTTTTGAGGTTAGCCCGTCGTTAAGCTAGCTCGCCAGGAACGCCGAACGTGACTTATCGCGAGACTGCTGCTGTGGGTTGTCATAGGAGAGGCCAGAAGTCACCACATAGAGGCTCTTGCTCCCTATGGAATATGATCATATAAAACACCAATCCGGGGCCCCGGGATACGAACCAGCTAAGGTATTGTACGTCTGCCGTCACTCAAGGTCGTTGCGTTGATACCTCCCGACTTTCAGCCACATCTCAGGCTTCTCGCTCTCTTTGCCGACACTCGGGAACGTGATGGCCGACACATTCCAGAAGATCGGCTTCTCGGAGAGTTCGAAGGTGAAGTTGGCGAGGAGCGTGGATAAAATGACCTCTGGAGCGGTGTCAGCATCAAAGAAGCCTAGACCAGTACGAAATACGCACTCATCTCGATCTGTGCAAACTTGAATCCTCTAGATCAACGATTATGTGGTTAATTGGGAAGCCACCGAAGACAGTTTGACACGTACATGCACGACCTCGCCCCGCCCACGAAAGTCATTCTGTAACGAATGCATTGGTGAGTACTCTAAGATTCCCATTCCAGGTACATTCATCGTATGAACGCACAGGTGCGAGTAAACTCCTGGAATGCTGGCAGCTTCTACAGCCTTGGGTAAGGGCTTCAACCAGCGCTCCGGTTTCCACTCCTCGGCGTCGTCGCCCCAGAGCGCTTTGTTACGATTGCAAGCTCTGACTCCGATAAGAACATTGCTACCTTTGGGAACGAAGACGTTTTCGATCGTTGAACCGTCGGCACCGCGCATGGGCTCTGACAGAGTCAGGGTCGAGTCCTGGCATGCCCTGCATAGAATTATTAGTTGCCTGCTCTTGTCAGAGAACAATGGGGATGCTCACTCGCGCAGCACAATCGGGGTCGGGGGATACCTGAGCAATCGGTGATTGGTGGCACTTAACCCTGAATCGCAGCGGACTTACAGTCGCAATGTTTCCTTGCAGACAGCATCCAGGTAAGGGAGTGCTTGCAACTGGTCGTACGCCACGTCTTGTCCATCACCAGATACGAAGATCTCCGCGCGGACCTTTTGTTGGACGTCAGGGTGTTCTGCAAGAAGCTGTAGTACCTGCGCCATCAGGTGAGAGGTGGTGTCCGTTGCTGCGAAGAGTAAAATGCTATATTCCGAGTCAGCGAAGCAGAGCAAGGGAACCATGATATACGTACGACATCTGGCCAATGATTTGCTCGTCCGGTAGCCTCTCTTCCGCTGCAGCCGCCATATTCGCCTTCACTGTATGGAGTTCATTGATGTCAGCGTCGCTTGCGAAACGATATTCAGCCCACGTAGGATGCCTATGATATCTTTCCCCTGAGCTGTATCACCTCGCTGAAGTGCAGCTTTTTTCTCGTCGATGATGCGAAGGGAAGTATCATGCAGAACATCGACCACGTCCTTGAGCTGCTGCACTTGGGGGATGGGGAGAAGATCAACGATCCAACGGCGCAGCCGTGCAGGGCCCATGCTAGTCAAGATGGGGCTCGCTTGCCTCATGGCTACCATGGCAGGCGTGAATGACAGGGGTCTATATTCGCATCAGCAACTTGAACTGTCGGATGAATAGACGCCGTTTAGACGCACAAGTACGTCTTTGCCGCCTTGGTATACGGATCCGAAGAGCCGTCTGATGTGAGGGGGTCGAACGAGTGTCCCATGCCTGCTTTCCCGATAATTTCCAGAGCAGCGCGTCCCATCCAGTCCAACATATCCACACTGCGAGGGGAGTCAAGCACAGTCCTCGAGATACCTTGTACGAGCTAGCCTTCTATAAGGTGGGTGTCTCCTGCAATATCACAGCACCCAACGTACCCGATGAGCCACATCATAGAAGACGGGTGTTAACACTCGAAGGTTGGCATCGGAAAAGACCGGCGTCAGCATTTTGCGCTGACGGCGGTGTGCCTCGCCTAGGCAAAGCCTATCAGTCTCACGGCATCGGCAAAAGCAACACCGAAAATTTGCGAGCCTACCCAACACACCAAGGATGCCTGGCCCAAGTAATAGGCGAGTACTCCTGCGTTACGCTCTAAATGAGATTTGCGAGTGGCAAGATAGGGGTGCAAGGGACTCACTGGATCAACCATGGAATCTGATCAAACGTTCCCTTCTCCTTCAAGACGATGCTGCGCAGCGCCGTAGGATCGAAGACGTAGAGCCATTTGCCCTATTCCAACTGGAGAGTGAGTTAGGAGGGAAAGATGGGCTGCACAACTCACACCCAGCACAGCGTTGATCTTCACGACGGGTCCATAGTTCTGTGCGACTTCGTCGTGGAAACCCCATGCATCTCTGTCGAAGAGCTGCTCGAGATTGCCTGGTGATGCATTCAGAACAGCTAGGGACCGGTCAATAGAGAGAGGCTGACCGGAGACAAATGATTTCGGTGGAGGTCCTGGAACAACGTCCCAAGCCGACTTCACAATGAATGGTCGGATGATCTGCCATAGTGCCCAGGCAAAAGCGCCCAATAGAACGACCTGGACAAGCATGATGACACTCGTACGGGGAGATGATTAAAGCACGGACGGGGCAGCTGAGGATAGATAGCAAGTATCCTGTGAGACACGGAGCGGGTCTTTATGTTGCGCTCGCCGCCCGATCGGAATGGTAAACTCACCACCACCTGCAAGGAACACCGCCGATGCTCCCGATTGTAGCAAGAGAAACGTCCAACAGAACATTCCATAGCCACGAATAGAAATTCTGCAAGATTGCCGTCCTGTATTATAATCAAGCTGTACACATCCGGAGCCTGAATCGCCTCCACGCGCGCATGATGGCTTACCTCAGGCCGGCGAACTTCTGACACTGAGAATGTGAATGACACTTGTCCACGTTTTGATGAGCAGTTGAGCGTAATTGAGTGTCTTGCGAAGTCATTCATACTTCAACGCTCGTCGGGACCGGTGCTCGCTACGTTCGCGGACTTCTGTTACCGGGACTGAACATGCGCTGTCATCTGACGCCCGTGTGGTCCAGGAAGATGGGACGGATTTGGCTGCTCCCCTGAGCTTTGCATCCCGCGGACTATCCCCTCTCCGATCCGCGGAATTCTCGCAGACAAAGCCATCTCCGCTGCGAGGGAAGCTCAACTCCGTCCTTGTAAGGTGGATCGTCAGCCATACTCTACATCCGTCGAGAACGGTAAACCCCGTACATTCAAAGCACTGCTCCAAACAGGTAAGTTCCATCAGCAACGTGTACGCCTTATCGAGTTTACGTTACCTTCTTCGTCGCCATCTACCAGGAAGCGACCTACGATGAATGTTGAAATTGAGGATCCCTCGAATGGCACATGCATCCCGTTTGAACGGTAGAGCGGTGCATCAATATCGCAAAGGAAGCGACGAAGGCTGAGCGCTGAAATATCGCGTAGTTGCAAGGCTGCTGAAACTTTGCCTACCCAAATGCCGATGATTAGGACGACGATGACGAGGGCTGATGCTCGTCCGTACCAAGCCTATTGCATATGCTTCTAGTCAACCACTACGATACATTAGGTACAGATACTTGTGGCCTGTCAGCGTGACTCAATGTGGGGAAATTAGAGCGAAACACACCGGTAACAGGTGTCAACTACGCAATAGAAAACTGCAGCTGGCACCGGGTGTGCTGGTGAAGGGATGGGACACAAAGGCCTAAGGCTCAGCTCCTCGCTCTGTCACTACCGGTAACTGTAGGTCGCCCTGCTTGACCAGCGACATGAGGCGGAGGCAGGCTGACTACCCTTGGCGCGGCAGGTGTTCCCGTCGGACCGCGCAGGGGTCGGGGTTGTGCGAGGGAGGTCAGTCTAAACAGATGCAGGCCACTGATTCGATCACCAATTAGGATGGTCGGACCGTTTCTGCCAAACCACGGCGAATGTGTATACGTCGCGCAGGGGCACGAAGGATCTGGTTGAGTGGAACGATGCGACAGGGTTAGCTGAAACGCGGCGTCAACTTGTCGGCCCGAGTGACCATCGAAGGGAAGCGCGACGGCGGAAGACCAGCACGTCAAGTTTCTGACTTCTGGCGCAACCCCAGGTCCCGCTTCAAAACATTCTTGAGCTCTGATCTAGCAGAGGCCACCTGGGTCAGGTGCTGTGCAACATAGATCGCCTCCTGGCGCCTCCCGTCTTGCATAAGCCTCCTGATCGTTGCGCGGAAGAAGAAACTGAGCATGCGCCCGCGAAGCTGCTCCGGAGAGGCACTACGTCCAGGTAGGTTCTGAGCTTGTGCAATGGCGCGGTCGACGGTTTTTTGCCAATACTGCAGTCGGCGCTCCACAGCTGCCTGGCCCGGCTTGAACATAAGCCCTTTCATGAACGCATCGCGCGTTCGGATGTGTGGCGCGAAGCCGAGGCAGAACATGTCGACTATGACACGGGTTGCGTACGAGATGAAGCCGTAGGAGAAGAACTTGTTGACGAAGACGTCGAAGTAACGCGCATCGTACAGTATACGAGGTGGCATCGGCCGCAGGTACTCCATGTTCTGGCCCTCTGCGGGTGGCATAACGGGAGAGGGAAGACGGGGAAGCGGGTAGACGTTCCGAGGAATGCTCCGAGTCTCAGTAATAACGTTCACAAAGGCGCGGTAAAGTCTCGCCGCGCTAGCAGGACGCTTGGCATGCTTAACCGCCATTCGCCATAGAAGGTAGGTGTGCTCCTTGGACGGGGGCAACCGACGATAAATTGAGGGCACAGGGCCTATCTGCTGGAGGGCGACGGCTGGCACCTTGACTTTGGTCAGATCGTGGCGCTGCTCGGAGAAGTGGATGGGGTCAAAAATTTCAGGGGGGACGCCGACGTGGTCGAAGTGCTGCTCGAAGACGTGCAGGAGCGATTGGAAGTAATTGCGGTTAGCGTAAAAGGTCATCTCCGCAAGCGCCCACGTCGAGATGGCAGACGGTCCGGAACGATAGGCCAGGTTGCGGAGGCGACGGAGAGCGGATTTCCTGTCGGATTGAAGGAAGACCGTAATGACCTCTGTGAGTTGTATTGCAGGAACGAGGATCCCTGCCTGGAATGCCCGCTTTATAGACCGTGCAGACTTGGCGAGCTCAGTGCCGTGCCCGCGAAGTGGAAGATAAATCGTGGATATGTCTTGGGGTGCGGAGAACTCCGTGGGCTACGTAGACCATGTCAGCGGTTTGACTTGAGTAGCTAGTAGCCTGTCCTCACCAGGTCGGATGTCTCGTGATTGCCAGAACTGGAGCTCATCCCTCTGTTCATCTGTTGCACTGCGTGGACAGCATCCCGGTAGCCATGGGCTTGGAATACGGACACGATGTGTTCGTACGTACCCTGCTTGATCGAGAGCTTGCGCGAATGGGCCAGCTTAAGGAGCTGCAAGGCGGAACGGTGCTTTCCCGAATCAACGAGGGAAGACACTGCCGCATTGTACCATATCCGGAATTGACTCTGGATCAAATCCAGAGCACGTCGGCTCGGAGGCTCCTGACGCGTCTGCTTTGCTTTTGTCTCGTAATTCCAAGTGGTGACGCAGAACTCCTCTAGGAAGCGGGTGGTGAAATCCGACGGGGCATAGCGGGCAATTCGTCGAATGGAGTCCAGACCGACTTGGATGGCATATCCCTTAGAAGCAGCGAGGAGAGCGAAGCTGGCGATAAGTGGGATATCGGGCGAGTGGTCCTTCCTGAGTAGCTCCGTGAGGATGAAACCAACGGAGCGCGAACAGTCTATTTCTGAGCTGGCAGGAACCAACGACCACCACTTCATGAAAGTGTCCAATCGTTTCTGTGAAGCGAGTCCAGGCGTAGAGAGGGTCCTCCTGGCGATGAAGTGATAGACAGGGTGGGGGTTGATCTCGATACCCAAGGCCACAAGTTCGGTATACACGCGCTCCGCGTCCTCATATCTTTGTGCTTTAACAAGACACTTCAGAAGCGTACATGGAGGGGCTCCTGCGGGTATGTCAAAGAGTGTAGCCTCGCTTTCGGTCAATGCAGCGGTGGCGTATTCGTCCGTGGCTTCTTCGAACAGAGACGAGTCGGGAGGGGCTGAAGGGTATGGATATGCTTTGATCTGCCGCATGGAGGGGGTCTCTTCGTCCAAGTCGATGCGGAGAGAGAGCGTAGGAGTGTTGAGGAAGTGTCTGCCGGGTCTAGTCCACCCGCCGGCTTTGACAAGCGTATCCCAGCGGATGCGGACCCGAGCGAGCGAGTGCCATGGCGGGTGTGCAAGCACCCATGATGCCATGAACCAAGGTCCAGCTGTCGTCGCCGGCGAGGGCCCCGAGGTCGAGGAGGGTTCACGTCGTGGTTGTCTACAGAGATTTGGGCGCTCGACAACAATTCGGGCGCTCTGCCGCTTGGTCCTGACCACCATCCTCTCTTTCCGACATGTCCTCTCCGAAACGGACAGCATCTCCAGCACCCAATCCCTCAGAGACTAAGCGCATACGACTTACGGTGAACCAGGGCGTGACTCCTGTCGACCCTGAAAACGCGGCCGGCAAGCGGAGCGAATTCGAACCAATCCAAGGTGGCGACGTCGGAAACCTCCCGCCCGCCCCGGCTGCTGCGGCGTCCACGGAGCCTGCAAGCGCGGTCCCCGCGCGACTTCTGAAAGCTGAAGGCGATGGAGAGGGTGGAGATGACAGCGGGGATGTGTCCATGGCGGAGGGCGCGGACGCGGCGGACGAGGAGGCCGAGTCCGCAGAAGAGAACGACGACGAGGATCCGGCCCAGCTCGAGGCTACGCGACTACGGCTTGAGGAACAAGCTCGCAAGTACCTTGCCGCTCAGACACACGAAGTCATCATACCTTCGTATGCCGCGTGGTTTGATATGTCCAAAATCCATCCCGTCGAACGGAGGGCGTTGCCCGAGTTCTTCAACTCGCGACACAGATCGAAGACCCCCGCAATTTACAAAGACTACCGCGACTTCATGATCAACACATATCGTCTGAGGCCGTCGGAGTACCTCACTGTCACCGCATGCAGACGGAATCTGGCCGGAGATGTCTGCGCAATCATGCGCGTACACGCGTTCCTCGAGCAATGGGGACTCATAAATTATCAGGTATGTTATAGTCGTCGTATCCTCAGCATATATGCGTATTCCTACACTATCTCATGCCAGATCGATCCCGACCAACGACCTGCCGCCCTCGCACCCCCTTTCACTGGTCATTTCCGCGTCATCCTCGACACTCCTCGCGGTCTCCAATCCCTTCACCCCGGAACTCGACCAAAACCCGAAGGTCAAGCTGCTACCGGTGTCAACGGCTCCGCGAAGGCCGGTTCCATTCCTACACCCGCCTCTCTCGAGCTCCGATCGTCCATATATCAAACATCCGCCAAGTCATCGCGCCCTATCCCGGCCGAGGAGGCGGCCAAGCTCGCTAACGGCGCGTCTGCGCCCAACGGGATCTCTGGAGACAACCCGACAACCATCAAGTATCAGTGCGACACGTGCGGTGTTGACTGCACGCCAGTTCGGTATCACTCGCTCAAAGTCAAGAACTTCGAGCTGTGCCCCCCGTGTTACCTCGATGGTCGCTTCCCCTCGAACATGTTCAGCGGCGACTTCGTCAAGCTCACGTCGGCAAGTGGCGCCAATGGCGTGCATCAGGTTGCTGGAGGCGGCGTGGACGATGACTGGACAGACCAGGAGATACTGCTATTGCTGGAGGGTGTGGAGCTGTACGACGACGACTGGTCAGCAATTGAAGAGCACGTCGGCACGCGGTCCGCTCAGCAGTGCATTCGCAAGTTCCTCCAACTCCCCATTGAAGATCCCTACGTCGCCGCGGAGGGCGACATGGGACCACTCCGCTTCGCGCGCGTGCCGTTCGAGCAAGCTGACAACCCCGTAATGAGCGTCGTCGCCTTCCTTGCGGGTGTCGTTAGCCCAGGACTCGCCGCGGAGGCGGCGAAGACTGCGTTGCACGAGCTGACGGACGGCGAGAAGAAGGACACAGAGGATGGGGAGAAGAAAGAGGAAGAGAGCACCGTGGAGGGCGAAGAGAAGAAGGATAAGGAGAGGATGCAGGAGGACCAGCCGAAGGAGGGCGCCGAGAGGCCAGAGGCTCCTGCGCCATCGGACACGCAGCCCGACGACATGCAAGTCGACTCTGTGGCCACGAGCGAGGCCGTCGCACAAAAGGCGACCAAGACGATCCCGCACTCGAGGGTCGTCCGCGCCGCTGAGCTTGCGCTCAAGTCCGCGTCGAAGGCCGCTGGTGCACTCGCTGACGCGGAAGACAACCAGATCCGGTCGACACTCGCGTCGCTCATCAAGCTCACGCTCACGAAGCTCGAGCTGAAGACGGCGCAGTTCGAGGAGCTGGAGGAGCTGCTCGAGGAAGAGCGCAAGAGCTTGGAGACCGCTCGCGTCGCGCTCGTCAACGAGCGGATCAACTTGAGGCGCATGCTCGACCACGTCAAGTCCGAGCTCGCGAAGCATAGCCAGAATCCCGGTCCTGGACTTGCTGCCGCCGCGGGCCAAGCGCAAGCTGTACTCGCCAACAGCACGCAAGGAACGCGCGTCACTGAGGTGCAAGGAGGTGCGCCGATGGAGGGAGGATTGGGGCCTGTGGGTGAAGGGGCAAATGTGGCTGCGCTGGGCTGAGCAGCGAACGGTGGTGCGCTATCCATGTCTACCTACGATGACTTATTTTCCGTCTCCTCGCTGTCTGATGTCCGTATTGCTAGTGACCCTTATTTGTAAATCCTTGCTTGTCAGATTATCCATAATGTTGTGTAGCGGCGTCCCAGGAAATCCTGTGACAGGGTTATGCTTTCAGATACGTTTCCGTAAGGGAACACGCAGAATTGACACACCTTGAATTCGGCTCGTGATCGCTTCCTTGGCGGAAGGAACAGCTCAGATGCGTTACATCTACTGTGACCTGTTCCCTCCATACATCCAAACGCAGCTCAGCTGAACATGTCCCTGGAACAAGAGCAGGTGTGCCCGAGCTAATAGGCAGGATTCGTGACGCAAACAAGCTCGGGAGCTTCTCCCAAATCATCTAGGTTCTGACCCATCGTTGCTGCACGCCAGATACACCGGACTATGATGCCTTACGGTGGAATAGGCGATGCGGCTCAAGCGCAAACGATACAAGCGTGTGTAAGATCGACAGTCATGTTAGTACAAATGAATATAGAGAGGTATATCCAAACCAGAGTATAGTATGAAGCCAAGCAAACCAGCAGAGCAGCGCGTCCATGTTATCCAGCCCCCACGTCTAGCGTGCCAAGCTCTTCAGGCGAAAGTCCGTTCCATCTTCCCGCAAACCCTCAACAGCCGCAGCCGCAGACGTCCACACCCACACGCGACGCAGGCATCTGCCAGTGCCGGTGAATCTCTACACTGTCGCGACCCACTCCTCGACCTGCTTCCACACCGTGTCCCGCACGCGCTCGTCCCACCACTTCATCTGCAGCACGTCGTGCGGCGCGTCCTTGACCCAGATCGTGTGCACCTCCGTCCCGTCGCGCTCCATCGCACCTACGAGCTTGGTCACCTCGCGCTCCAGCCGCTCCGCGTCCCCGAGCACCACACACGTCCGCGGGAACTCGGTGAACAGGCTCAGCCCGCGCGGCGACCCGATCATCGGGTGCGCGAGGCTCGTGGGGCTGCGCCTGTGCCCGTGCGGGGGCCCGTCCTCGTCCCCGCTGCTGTTGCCTGTGTCACTGTCGTTGCCGGTGTCGTTGCCGCTGCCGTTCACGCTGCTTTTGCCGTTCACGCGTCCCCGCCCGGAAGAAACGGTCCCTATCGTGTTCGTGGGGGTAATCTCCGGGGGCCCGACGACGAGCGGCGCGGTGGTGTCCCCGAACCCGTACGCCGTCGAATTGTCGCGCGACATCATCGGCAGAGGCGTTGCTGGGGCGCTCGCCATCGTGCGTAGAAACTGGCGGTGGTCGTCGTTGAGCTGAGCGATGGTCAGGTCCGCGACCGACGCGGCGAACGCGTCGCCATAGAACGCGGTGAGGACGCGTTGCGAAGCGGGGGAGACGTACGGGGAGTGCATCGTCTCGAGCGGGTTGTGGCCGAGGAAGGTGCGCTGGAGGAGCGCACGGGGCTCGGGGGTATCTACGAGGTAGTCGGTTTCGGCATGCGGACGTGGGACGTAGGATGAAGGCGACTCGGGGAAGGCGTGTGCTGTAGGGGCGATGAGCGATACGATGGGGACGATGGAAGAGGGTTGGCTTACATGGATCACAGGACGGAGAAAGCAGGAGGAGACCGTCTGGGGGAGGGAGGACACCCTCATCGCGAATCCAGCGCGCCAGGGCGAGGACGAGGTTCCCGCCTGCACTGTCTCCGATGAGCACAATCTTGCAGTGGGTATTGGCAATCACTTCAGACAATCGTGCGTGGATCTCGGCATTCTCTCTCTTGTCCTTGACGCGCTGGCCATAGTTTCCGTCTACGGTCAGGTATTCCACGTGGCCATTTTGAGAGGTGCCGCCGGAAGACTGGGAGCTTGACTTGCCGCTTCCCACGACAGAAAGTCGTTGATGACGGCGAACTATGTGAGCGTACACGGCCGCTGCATCTTGCACGGCCGCGGGGAACGGGGCGTGTTGAAGGAGTCGATATTCCACGGAGTGGATTTCTGTGAACGCCTTATCCTACGCGGAGATCAGTGCTAGAAGCGGCTACTGGGTATACATTGGACGTACCTTGATTAGTCGTGCAGGTATTTGGGAGGTGGGTGCGTTCTCATGCGCGGACATATGGCAGTAGCCGCCACCGTGCAAGAATATACCAATCAATGGTACGTCTCCTACGGACTCCTCGAGGTCCATCAGAGGATTTTGTGAGGGAGCCGGGGAGGACTTGTCATCCACGCAGGCAGGGATGACTTGGTGTTTGCGCGTGAGCATCATGAATAACCGAGAAGAGCAGTAGGGATGGACACGGATCGGGTAAACCCGCCTCGAATCCAGGTGTCTACCCGTGCGGGTACGGGTACGGGTCAAGTCTATCCCTGGTTCAAATAACAGGACTTACTCTTTGGACGCTCCTTCGGCCACACGAAGCACCCTACGCGTCTGAACGGAACCTGTGGGTCCGCAATGACGCCTGTACGCAAATCCTCCGGAAGAGGAGGCACCCACTCGAAGCGCGTGTACTTGAGGCTCTTCCCGCTGCACTCCTTGTCGGGGTCGCGTGTACCCCATGTGACGCCGGCGAGCTCCGTGACCTTGTATATGCGCCGGGTAAAGTTGACAGAGAGAACGCACTTGAGTGTCCAGGACGGTCGGGGGCGGCGACTGCGTGGCATGATGCTGTAGTAGACGGCCCACCAGGCACACATGACTATGGATGTGAACAGTCTCTGGAAGACATAGAAGGCCTTGAGCGGTTGCCGGGCGTAGGGCATGTCCGCCTGGTAAGTGTAGCGTTTCTTGGGAGGCATTGTTGCGGGGCCTAGGTCGCCAGAGGAGCAGTCGTGGACGTCGTCGTGGACGTGGGGTCGTGGGGAGAAAGGCGAGGGAGTGGGAGGTAGAAAAGGGCCGTGTGCGCCGACTTGACGCGGGCAGAAATAGACAGACCGAGATGGAGACTGCTAGACCCTACCCAGTGTGCCCTTGACGTCACTCACAGGCCTTATGCCGCCACAACGCAAACACACGCAAATATCTCCTGGTCGCTGGCACGACTGGCTGCGACGAGGCGCCTTCTGGGCACAGCCTCCGATCGAGCTCAGAAGATGACCGCAAATGTCCACACGTCTCGCCTCGCACGTCGGCATATCATGATGGCTGACCCTTCGGTATGCTTAGTCGTTCAAATAAGACTTGCTTACAAGCAATCACTTGAGGTATGGGAGAACTGTACAGACCAGCCAATTACAGATGAATTGTTCAAGATGTTTTGTTACAGACCTGGTGTGTATCCATGTAGAAACCATTCACAATGCAGAGGGTATAGTGAATGATTAATTCGCAAGTAATTTCCGATATCATCTTTCGCATGATTGAAACAATTGTGTTACATTGGTATTTATCCAGCAACCCAAAATTCGATAGCATTACTTAAGGCCCCATTGTACCAAACCCTTTGAACCATGCAAAAGATTATATATCGGATATAGCCTGCGAATCAACCATTCACTATACCCCGCGCATTCCGAATGATTCCTAGATGGACATACATCAGGTCCATCACAAGCCATTTTGAACAGTACATCCAAGACTGACTGAGCATTGAGCAAGCAGAAGTTAGCCTGCATATTTCTACCATATCTCGAATTACTTCAAGCGGAGTTCGTTTCGACCATGATTTACATGGGTTCAGCACATCGAATGGTCAAGCCATGATCGTGATATGCCCACGATGTCGACGACGGCTGCTTCGCTTTGATTCTGCGGCGGGCCCGGTCTCGATGGATATATAGACGACAGTCAACCTCTCACCCTCCTCTCTCTCGGAACACCATCAGCCTCGACGATATGGGTTCCCCGGTAAACGTTCTCGACGGCTACTACCTTGCCATCACGCTGTTGGTCACGGTGGGGTACCAGCTCACGGGTTTTGCCATCGCATGGACGTTTCAGGTACACGTTATAAATCTCCGACTTGGACTGGGTTGACTAACACCTGTGTGTAATCACGTTGTAGTTCGACAAGATTACGGATTTCACCGGAGGTTAATGTCTATCCCAAGCCTTTGGAGTACTGCGCGTTCGTACTAACCATATCTCCGCTCCGCACAGGCTCGAACTTCTTCATCCTCGGTACATATCCAATGCCTGTCTCGGCACAGTGGTTTACATGGCTCACCTTGAACTGCAGCGCTATTGACCCTCTTGCTGGGACAAGAGTTTCATGGGCGGAACATATTGGCCAGCGTATTCATCATGGTGTGGGCAGCCCGCCTCGCAGGTGGGACTTCAATACGCTGGTGTACAGCTCCTAGGCCGACTGATATCTACAGGATTTCTCCTGTTCCGCGTCCTTAAAACCGGGAGTGATACCCGGTTCGACGACATCAGGTCCCATTTCTTCAAGTTTTTCGGATTCTGGGTCGGTGAGTGCGCCAATGCTCGCCGCTGCGCAGCTGCTGAGTTGATCAACGCAGGCCAGATCCTATGGGTTTGGGTGGTGTCCCTCCCCGTCACAATCCTCAACTCGCCCAAAGTCTCCGCGGGGGTCGCCCCGGGGTTCGGCACGGCGAGCGACATCCTCGGCATCATCATCTGGGCCTTCGGTTGGTCGATCGAGACCGCTGCCGATCTACAGAAGTTCCGCTACAAGTCGACCAACCCCCCGAAAGAGAAGCCCATCGACGTAAGTGCCTGCTGCGCACACATGTGGGAGCTCTAATCGACACACATGCATCCAGGTTGGTTTGTGGGCGTGGTCCCGCCATCCTCCGTACTTCGGCGAGTGAGTGGCCCAGGCCTGTCATTTCTGTTCGCCGTCAGGCTGATGGGATGCCTCCCAAGGATCTTATGCTGGTGGGGCATCTGGACGCTCTCGATCGCGCCCGCTCTGGGGGGCACCCACAACTCGGGGGCTCGGTCAGCCTTGCTTGGCTCGCTCGTCTCCCCGCTGTTCACCATGATGTACGTAGACTCGTCGTTCCCCTCACGCTCCCGTGCGAACTGACCAGCGTGCCGGCCGTGCGTCACCAGACTGCTCCTGTTCGGCTCCGGGGTGCCCACAGCAGAGAAGCCCGTGGCGCAGCGGTTCTACAAGATGGCGTACCCCGAGGACGACACGCTCACCGGGCACGATCACGGCGAGCGCAAGCCTACGAACGCGGCGTGGGCGAACTACCAGGCCTACCGCGGGCAGACGTCGATCCTGATCCCGCTGCCTCCGACCATTTACCGCGCTCTGCCGCTGTGGATGAAGCGGACGGTGCTGTTCGACCTGCCGATGTACGAGTGGACTCCTAGGAGTTAGTGATGACGTGTGTTCTCGTCATCCTGGGTTTCAATTTGGTGTACTTGACCAGTCTTGAATGAAGTGGTGTCGTCGTGTGTCACTCATATTCCGAATGCCACAACTGGTCTCGTAGTTTCCAGGCTCTGGAACTTTCCTACATCGGCGCCGGCATAAGGCTTGCTGACGCTCAGTACCCGGCTATCACATAAGGAGTCTCCTTGCCTCGTGCCAAAATCGTGTCACATCCTACGTGTCGCCTTGTAATTCCTGGGCTGGGCAGCACATCCTCAGCATGGCCAATGCATGTTATCGCAAACGGGCGCTTGGGGAGTTATGTTGAGCTGACTCATCAGCGTTGCCAGCGGTCGTAGATATCTGTGTTCCCACTCTCTCACGAACTTACCAGAACAATTGTCGACCTACAGTGCTTTGCAAAAAAGATTGCAGACCGAAGCGCGCAAATTCCGGTTTGGTCCTATTTGGCCACCCGGGGAAACGCCTGCGATACCGGAAGCCTCTTTGCAGCATGGTCAATGATTCAGTTGAAAACCTACCGGAAGTACTGAGAAAGTTGTATTGTGGAGACAAAGAACGTGTTTGTGCATTTTTGCAGCAGAAAATGGGGCTCAGACTCAAGCACGGTCTTGTCGAACGGAGCCCTTGTGAGCGCCCCGGTGTCCGAAACAGGAATCCTCGCCGTAGCCGACAGGAAACAAAGCAGGGACAAACAAAAATCGCGCGCTTCGGTCTGCAATCTTTTTTGCAAAGCACTGTAAGACGCAAACTAGAGCGGTGGCGATGAACGGGACACATATAGAGGTGTGGTGGTCAGTCTCAAAATGCCCGGGAACAAAGTAGATACTGAGTCCCCCGATATTCCATAGATGACGACGTTGTTCTCCGACGCCGAACGCCAGCAATTCCGCATCGAGCCGACCCCGGACGTCGTCCAAGCCGCAGAGGACACCATCCTCTCGCACGAGCGCGAGATCGGAGGGCTAGAGGAGCGCATCGCGGCCCTGCTCAATCAAGTGCGCGATTTGCGATACGAGCAGGCGCGCCACCGCGCGGCGATCGCGCGCTGCCGTGGGCTCGTCACGCTCGCGCGGCGCCTGCCCGAGGAGCTGCTCATCAGGATCTTCGAGCTCCTCGTCGAGGACGGCTGGACGCGCGCGCCCGTCGTCGTCTCGCACGTGTGCTCCGCGTGGCGCCGGGCGGCGGGTGCACCGAAGGTGTGGGCGCATGTGTACGTGCGGTGCGACGACGCGAACGTGCACGAGCGGACGCGGTTCTGGCTGCGCATGGCGCGGGGGGCGGACCTGCATGTGACGGTCGCGGCGAGCTGGCGGATCCCGCAGTGGCAGATCGGGCAGCTGATGGGGCTGCTGGTCGAGAGGAGCGGGCAGTGGCGGTCGTTGCGGGTCGAGACGGACTCGTTGAGGCATGCGGAGCTCGTGCTCGGCCAATGTGACCGGCCGCTGCCTGAGCTGAGGAGCGTCGCGATCAAGACGGCGGCGATTGACAGCGCGGACGCCGGGGTGAACGACCTCTCGATCCTCACGGAAAGGTTTAGCGACGAGCGTGCGCCGAGGCTCGCGAGGGTCGAGTATGCGTCGTCGGTCATTCCAAGGTTTCCTATTTTCCCCGCTCACATCACCAGTCTTGCACTGGACATCTACGAGAGCAATCCGCACCGCCCGCTCTCAACCGCGTCCATCATAGAACTCCTCGAACAGCTCACGCAACTCAAGTCGCTCGCGCTCACCATGCCGCTCGCCTACGAGGCCGCATTCGTCCCACTGCCCGACGACGACCTCGAACGCGCGGTATCGCTCCCCAATCTCAATACCCTTGTCTGCTACGGACCCACCGATCTCAACGAACTCCTCCCGCATATCCACGCCCCCGCGCTCCGCCGCCTCCACATCCGCTCGTTGGAGGACGTCGGCTACCGCCAGCAGCCCGTCGGGCCTTCGCTCCTGCTCTTCCTAGAACGCTCCGCACCTCCCTTGGAGCTCCTCGAGCTGCACGACATCGACCTCTCCCCAGAGACGTTCGCAGCGGTCTTTGCCGCGCTGAGCGGAACGCTGCGCGAACTCCGGCTCCACGAGTCCAGTATCTCGGACGCGACGATCCAGCTCCTCCATGGTCCCAGGGGCCTGTGCCCGCACCTGACGAAGATCGACTTCAGATGGTGCGGGATGCTACAGGGCCGGGCGCTGGTGGACTGGGTACGAAGCCGGTGCGCCGTAGACGACATCCCGGAAGGGAGGATCGGAGAGCCGATCGAGGAGGTGGGAGTGGTGAATTGTGCATTTGTGCTGGAGGAAGACGTGATGGACCTGGCGAGGATGACGGTGTGTAGGATCGTCATGCGGGACGGGGATGACTATTGCCGTGAGTCGAACTTGAGCACAGCCTGTGAGGGACTGTGTGCTGATATCGATGTGTGTTGCAGGTTCGCGCGGCCTTGGATGCTGCAGCAACGGGAGGTATCGGACGCGGTTGCGGATGAGACACCTGACGGATCTGGCTGCTGGACGGGATACTGGCATCCGTCTAGTGTTGTAGTTAGGGTATTCTTGACACTGTGCATTTGTTCGGCGATAGGGATGCATGGATATGTGGAATCTTGCCACACAATGCTGGAACGACTAGAAAAGCCTGAAGAACACTATTGCGAGTGGTACATTAGGATAGTCCAGTATAGATGATATGTGTTTCCGCGAAGACAAGAAAAGGGTGGACAATATTGAGAATGATGTGCATACGTTCATGGCCCGGAGAGATTTTCACTATTGGCACGCAACAGTCTAGGATACTGATAATGGTTCAAATGCTTCGGAGGATGACCGTACACCCGACGACGATACCTGCCATATCGGGAGTTCCGATGCTGTGTGAATTGATGTCGTGCCGACCAAGACGCCTTTCCTCTGTCCTCTGCTGTCACCTATCGTGACGGTCAATCTCCTGCACTACGACGTGGCATTATCCCCAAACATCTTTTCCCTGACAACGTCACGATTAGTCTTCATGCCCCATGATGATCTGAGTACTATCTGGCAAGCCATGTAAAGGTCGTGGCCGGTGCCGGTATTGACAGTCATAAAGAGCACTGGCGAGTACTACTATGCGGTATCGACTACCAGACATGGGATATGGTCGAACTCAACAGGCCTTACTTAGGCAAAAAATGTTTACAGGACCGTGTTCTCAACAAACGCTGACATCCTACATTCGATGTCCTTCGGCAATCTCGACGCGAATGTGGCGCTGACATATCTGCAATGGTCTCGATCGCGAGCTGAACGAGCAGGGAAACGGAAGGCACATATACCTTTCGAGACGGGCGCGATCCGGCCCAGGGAAAGCGCTACACGCTCTCACGACGGCCTTTGCATTAGGTGCTACTAAGGAGGCATCCACTTGCTCTGGTTGTAGGGCGCGTACTTGACCTTCGGGACACGCGACCCATCTCATCTAGTATTGACTAGAGACTACGTGATTAGGTTGGCACCATCCTGCCAAGCATCCAAATTCGTTGAGGTTCCAAGGGAGTATGAAGTACGGTATAAGAGCACGAGTAACTCACACCGTTCTGGCCGTTGCTGCTCTGCCTATCAACACCTGCCAACATGTCCTTCAAACGAAGCTATATAATCGCCGCTGTCTTGGTCAATGTCCTCGCTGTCGCGGTCACCGTATGCCCCCCCTTCTGCGCCACATCCCTATATTTAAAATACTAATAATTGAACAGTCGTCTGCTCGTGCCGCACCTGGCGGTGTGAAGCTCGCTGCATTCCGCGATGAGCTCGACCGCCCCGTCTATTCCTGGACGATCAGCGAGGATGAGAAAGACCGCCTTACTGCATTGCTCGAGACGGACTTCAACGAGGCTAATGTCGCCGGAACATACGTGAACGCTCCTCCTCAGGCTTGTTCTCACTGCGGCAAGGAGACCGAGTTAATTGACTGGTATGCACATTTGGCCTCATATCTTTACTGCGCCTTGCATAAGTCCGTGAACGTGCGGATTTTTTTCTCTCAGCGTCTACCCTACCCGACCTGCCTAAACAGGCTACATCATGGTTACAAGCATGGCAGAGCTCCCCGCTGAGTCCGCTCGCTGGACTGGCATCGGCATTCCCAACTTGAAGCTTGAAGGGTGAGCATGCAATGAATCCAGTAGACTCGGCCATACTCAGAGTCATCCAGTTTTTATGGTGCGCGGAGGAGTAGCCTACAACGAGGTCTGCAGACCCGAGGGTTAATTGCCCTTGCAGGTACGCAGACCTCCCTTGTCCGGCGGACGAGGGGTAAGAGGGCTGATGAGCCGCAGTGGCCGCTGGACAGGAGGCACCAAGGGAATGGGCGCATCAGAAAATGATAGGCGAGGGGCCGGCGCGGAAGATATGAGCTTTGGGGCTCCAGATCCGGTGCAGGGCAACTTACGGGTACACAGGGCCACTTACAGGTACACGGGCACACCAAACACCATGAAGGCGGGCGCCGACGGCGGGAGGCAAGGCGGGACCTAGGAAGCGGGAAGGGGGCGGGGAAAGCGGATCGGGACACGGACGGCGGCACTTGGATCGGAGCGCAGATGGCGGGACAGGGGGACGACGGGGGGATGCGGGTCGGGAGGGGGACGGCGGGACGGGGATCGCGAGGAGGCGACCGACCGTAGCAACGTTATCATGAGCGCATCAAAGAAAGATGCGCTCAGTCGTGCGAGGAGCGCAAGGTTGGGGAGGGGGAGTTTTTTGTACACTAGCTAGCGAAGGGCCATCGGGCTATGGGCTCTATGGCATATCCTCAAAATCAGTATGTTTTGGGGGGTGCTACGTCAATACTACTCAACAACATGGGCAAGAGCTTCACTACAGCCAAGCAAATCACGTATTGCAAATCACATATTCCCGACCGCACGTTCTAGATCGATCCCTCGCCAAGCCGAATCTCTCCACTCCGTATTTCATGTGCGCGGAGCGCGCGACGATTGTTCCTGAAACTATATCAAGATAAGCACTCTACGAAACACCTTCAAAACGACGAAGCCTGCGCTCTGGCAACGGTCGGCACCGCGGGAAAGGGCGGGACAGGTGGGAGCGGAGAGGACGGCCAGAAAAGGCGGGAGGCAGGAAATGGGAGGGCGCACGGCGGGTAAGGCGAGAAGCAAAGCGGGCGATGGCGGGTCGGGGTCGGTCGGAACTGGCGGGAAAAGAGGGGAGGCGGGAGGAGAGTAGGCGGGAGGAAGCGGGAGGCTATCGGTATCAGGTATGATCATATCATCACGTGGGTTAGGGGAGAGGGAGGTCTGCGTACCTGCAAGGGCGAATAACCCTCGGGTCTGCAGACCTCGTTGTAGTCTCTACCGCGGAGATAGCTTGCATGAGGGACAGCATAGTCACTGCATGAGAAGTGAATTGGGCCCTTTCCAATTAATACATGACTTGCGACATTGTGTGCGGTCAGATTCGAGTTGCTCCTAGTGCCGTATGTGCATATCGTTGATGAGATACGTCGAGGATGTGTCACAAGGCATGTCGAAGCCTCTGCACTGACTCAGGCATGTCAACTGCACCTTGACTATGGTACCTCCCGTTCAAATCAGGGTACAGGATCTCCAGGGAGGACCAAAAGGGGCTGAAATACAGACATGAAAGTACCCGGGCACCCATATCCATACCTCATCTACCTGGGTACGCGTGTGGTCAACCAACGCCCCTTCAGTGAGGCCGTGACGCCCTGTCATGGAGTAGTCCTGTAGGCTGATATGGCCTGTTTAGGCAGGTCGGGTAGTGTAGACGCCGGAGAGAACAAAATCCGCACGTTCACGGACTTATGCAAGGCGCAGTAGATTGATACGGACATGGCTTCATAGGGTTTACACGGCATTGACGCGCGGTGTTCACTCACCTGAGTTCATCGTCGAATCGCTGAAGGAGGGGAACATTCCCAAGAATGTTCACCACGATGTCTATTGCTCTCGATGTGGACATCTGATTGCTGCCCGCGATCATACTGGGAGCGAAGGCGGCTCCCTGCATATCGCCCATGCTACGGTCCGTGCTCAGGCACCCCCATTTGGCACCGGATATAGGATACTCATGTGCATCTTAGCCGTATGACAGAGCGACAAGGACCTTCGGTGACAGCCTTCACAAGTGGGACGGCGCAGGACTTGAAGGTCATGCGCTTGTGTGGCATACATTATGGACTGCCAGGGGGCTGGAAGACGCCGCGTCTGAGTCCTAGGTGGTAGGCCATTGACTTTCTGGGCACTCTTATGACGCTTGAAACGTTGACTACATATCATCTTAGTTCGCGTTCCCAACATCAAAGATTAAAAGAGAACAACGTAGAAACTGACGGCCGTGTCTCTTTGCGCCCAGAGATACCTGCACCCTCACCGCACTTTGGCCCTGCCCTGTAGTATTCCCGAAGGAACTGTATTGTGCAAAGTGATCTGTACTTGTAGTTCATCCGTTGTGAGAATGCAGATCAATGAACGATCACATTGTCTGCAAAAGTTGGGTTCGTCTGCAGACCTAGTGCTGAGAGTTATCAATCATCATTGCCTACACAGAGACGGGCAAATTATCGAGATGATACAAAGCGTACACGTCACAGAATATCACACGATTAAACTAAGACTACATCATCGCAGATTTAGAGTTCGAAGATGGAAACGCGCCGTCTAACGAAAACGGGTACCAGATGTTGTACAGTACCGGCCGAGGGCGAACAAAGAGTTTAGAACAGAGACAGAGGGCTCGCACAGAACCATCAGTTCCTACGCGATCTCTTGCTCCGACGCGAGGTGTCGTCGCGGTTGGATGAGGTTTCGTCCCGGTCTTCATCCTCATCGCGTGACCGCTTCGGCCGGGGACGGAGCTGTCGAGAGGACGCACTTTCTGCGCCAAACGTGCGCGTAGGGGAGGCGCTTGAGCTTGAAGCACGTGTCCGACGACGGGCATGCGCAAGCGTATGCAGAGATGAGGGGCCGGCGAGGGAGGCATCGTCGGAAAGCTCGTGCAAACCGGCGGGCGCAGCTTTCTTCAGGTTCTGACGTGTCTTCGCCCGTAGCCACTTCAGCGATTTGCTGCGCTTGTCGAGACGCAGCGCGGAGGCTTTCGCACGAGAATTCGAGCTCGATGTGAGCCGTCTGCGCGTGGAGGGTCTGCCGATGGAAGTGGACAACTTCCGTGATAGTCTGGAGTCACCGTGCTCCCTGGTCGAGCGCTTGCGTCTCGGAGAAGAGGGTGAAGGGGTGATCGAAGAAGGTCCCAGAAGCGATGTCGAGGTAAACTGGCTCGAGGAGGAGGATGATGCGTACAACGAGGCAGAAGGCTGGGCGGAGATGGGCACGGCTCCTTGCCTCGCTGCGAGGCACGCAGTGACGTGTCTGGAGATGGCTAAGAGCTCCTCGTCGGTGAATTCGGACATGTTGTCCTCCTCGTATTCGTCCGGTTCATACGGCTCCGCTTCTGGATCCGCGGCGTCGTCTGCTTGAGACGGGCCCCATTCGCGGTCGACGGGGACGATGCCGCCTTCCCAATCTGAATCTTGGCGCCAGAGCGCTGTGGGCGCCACCCGTTGGAACGCGGGTTCTCGACCTATCAGCTCGGGATCCCGGCTTTCTCTGCCCTCCGGAGGGAAGAGGACATCGAGTGCGGTATTGTATGCACGACGATTAAACCTGAATCGTTGATTCAGGTAATCTAATACTTGTTGGGTGGTAGGCCGGACGTTGCTGTCTTCGGCGATATCGGTGAGCCTGGGGATGGGGCCCCACTGTACATCCCAAACGACTGTGAAAGAGGGGTGTAAGTGAACGTACGCAACACGCCTTGACGATCGGTTACGTACGATTCTCGTAGAGCGTGGAAGGGTCTCGACCCGCAACTAGCCGTCGCTCGGGCGAATCAATCGGCATCCAGCGTTCATGAAAGGCCCCTTCACGTCGTATCGGGACACGCCGTCGCTGCGAGGTGGGGCGCATGTTGGGAGCATCGCCTAAGGAACGACTCACGGTGATCATCGGAGGTATTTGCCATGGTGGATGTGGGGTAACAACCCTTCCGTCTCTCCTGCGGATAGTGCGTCTTGCAATTGGGAGGGGTACGAGCGCAAGTCCGTTCACAACAACGTTGTTGTCATCTGCGGCGTTTGAGCCAGACGCCGTCGGCGGCGGCTGTGGCTGTGATCCCAAGGCGACCAGAGGCTGGGGGTGCTGGACTAGTGCACGAAGACAATTAGAATCGCTGGTCCTAAGACAAGAGAAAGGATGCTCACTCTGGAGCTCCGCGTCGGGATCGTTGGCAGTGTCCCCATTGACTTGGTTACAGCCAGCGTCGCCCGTCTCCTCGACGACGTCGAAGAACTCGCCTTCTGGAGTGGGCTCCCGAACGAATCTGATCGCAGGACTCACGCTGGGGGAACTGATCCCGCTGTCGATGCTGACGTAGAAAGCCATCAGAAATGTAACAATAGAAGGCTATGACGGAGTGGCTCACGATGCGAACGCCACAGAGAGGGTGTTCAAGGCATCAAATAGTGCTCTCGCTCCACTTCTGATGTATTCGGTGACTGCAGACAACAATCGGGGTCATCTTTCGTATTGCTGACGGCTAGTTCAATAGGTAACATACATCGGCGACGTGTACGAGAGCGGTGGCGGTCATATTGGGGGTGTCGGGCAGAGCTTCGCAGACTGCTCGAAGCTTGATTAGCTTGAGTCCTGCTTCGGGAGATGATCATTGTGGTATGAAGGCCTCGCAAGATGTCGACCAGTTGGTACGCAGTGGCGTGCAGAGGCAGGGATTTGGTCTGGGATGACTTCCTAGGAGGGTCCACTAGCCCACGAAGGCTTATATGCGGGTGCGCCGCACCCGCTTTGTGCCTCCGTGCCACAGCCAGGCAGAGTCATATGTCATAACTGGATGGGCCACACGCCGCGTGGCAAAGCGGCAGTGTCACGAAAGCAGAGGACGGGCTAATTTCCGACTAGAAGGCAACGTGGCGAAGTCAAAGCGTGCGGAAAGCGTCTACAGATAGTCGCCTACCTGCCTCCGGGCGAGTAACCTGTGTGATTGCGGTGATGCAACATGGCACGTTGCGTCGGGCTCACTGTCGACGAATCGAGGTACCCAGTAGGTCTCACAAGTCCTTTGTTGCTGCCGGACTCTGTCCATTGTCAAGCTGCGATCCGACAATGATAGATAGATAGCGGAGGATGGATGTGACATGCCCAGCCCGAAAGGTTCCGTGGAAAGGAGAACAAAAGGCCAGCAGCTGATAGCGCCGGACCCTGGGAGCGCGTGGCACCACCAGCCTCGGGAGACGACGAAGTCCTCTCGCTCGCTAATCAATACGCTTGAATACCTGCGTTATAGAGAGAGAGAACAAGGGGGCATCAGGAGCAGGACGGCTAGGGCCTCGGGCCTCTGGCGTACTATAGGAAGCGGGCACTAGACGGCCGCTGGAACTGGGAAGCGAGCTCGCACACGTAAGTACACAAAAGTACGCTCGTCCAGCTTAACGAGCTTAACGATTGAGATCCGCCCATTCTGCGATGTGGGCCAAGAAGCAGCCTAGAACATGGAAAGGGTCAGCTATGCAATGAGAGTGGACGCGAAAGCCTTACCCTTTCTGTCCAGGATATCTGGATAATATGCGGGCGTAACCATGTGCAGCACGAGGTAACACAAGATCTTTTCCTTGACCCATATGTATCTCCATCTGACGATGTGTACACGTATTGTACATGATTCCGGTGGATGATCAAGCCGAGGACACGAAACCACTAGAATGAGATCCCCAGTCATAGTGTGGCACCTAGAGACATAGCTCGTTGTCAGCCAGAACAGACTAGACTCAGCGTCGGTTCATGTAGTCGTGAGCGAATGAGGCAGCTAAGAAGCCAAGGGCTCACAACGTTCACTGGTGGCCTCGATGTGGAGGTAAGAGTCGAGTTCAGTGACTGCTGTCGACGCGCGTTGCTTGTCTCTGTCCACGACGTCCACCATGTTCTCATCGTCTGTCCAGCCCAGCCTCGTCTCTTTGTTCTCATCCACCGGGAGCGACCCTCTCGGTCTTTTCCAAACTCACACGGACAGCACCCTCCCTGCCGACTCAGTCATTTGCCTGCTGAATGATGCGACCTCCCAGCCTGTCCCTCCGCCGCCTCAGACTCTAATCACGGCGACAGCCTTAGAGGACGATACAGCCCAACCACCAAACTACACCCTTGACCAAACCGTCTTGCACTTACAATCCCCAACGCTGCGTACGACATACATACGATGTCCGCCGGCCGCGCCGGGGAAAGCGGGCAGCAGGGCGCATCTGGGCCTGAAGCATGCTTGGATGCACTTGCAGGTTCGGAACATGGGTAGAGAGTGGGCATTTGAGGTCGGGGTGGTGGATCGATCTGGTCGAGAAGGAGTCGTGCGGTGCTCTACGTTCCAGGTGCGACGTTCTTCCCCTCAATCATATTACGTCCTTGGCTACTGGAGAGACACCGTGTTTCGATATGAATTCATTCTGTCATCCGACTGAGTGTCATGGCACCTTTGTCGCTGTCTGTGTTGTGGGAATGACTGGTAAAGTACTGCAAGCCGTGATTCGACAGGATTGGCGGGCTTCTGGTTAGCACCTCTGTCTGCTCCTTGTTCGTTCACTGACTTGTTCCACTCTGGTTGCACAGAAACAACCGAAGCTAAAGCTAGGGGTTCTGCCCCTCCTCCTGCTCCCGCTTTCGTTCCCACCGTCCTCTTCACGTCCCCTGACATCATGGACCACGATTTCACTGAACTTGCCATCTCTCCTCCCCCATTTCTCGTCTGGTGCCCTCGCTCGCGCGGATGAGGATGACGAGGAGCCATCATCTCCGTTCTCTCCTGCTAACAACCACAACGGAGGGAGGACACAGGTGCCCAGCGGAACTTTGTCACATGTCTCATACGTGAAGGTATACGCGACCTGTCGTCTGCGCAGGATCTGGTTCAACGAAGGCGGCCCGCAGCAGCGCCTCCCGTGGGAGTTTCAGCTATACGCCGCGGACAATGCGTAGTGCAGCTTGATAGTATTTCCGGATAGCATCCGACTGGGGCAAGTACGGAAGGGTTTGTCGAGGGTCTGTTCCGCTGACGAAGGGATGTAGCCTACTCGCCGACAAATTGTGCAATAGATCACGGTGTATGTCAATATCGCATGAGTGTGTTTGGTTGTCCTTCATAGTGCTGCACGGAGGAACATGGTAGGTGAGACTCCGCATTGAAGCGTTCCACAGACATCCTTCGTGCGAATCGATATCGATTCGTGTAGAGCCTAGAGCTGAAGCGACAAGCGGAGACGACAGTCTTTAGCATCCGTATCAACATCCTGTTGCCGCCGTCCTTTGCCGTGGGCAGCGAAAGATGAGCAGGAATGCGGGATTCAGACCTCGGTTTGGTAATCACGATCGCTAAATTCACTACTTTATAGGAACCCCGTGTAAACTGCTCCCGGCCTTGGAGGTCCGAGTATACGTCCCGCTGACGATGCCAGACAACTATCGGAGCTGCCCTGAGTCATGGGTGTATACACCTATTTCGTAGACAGTGGCGACGAGGGAAGATTCTCTTTGTCGCGGGGCTTCGTCCTGGTAGCCGGGGTTTCTGTCATCGCAGGCCTTGGCTTTGGTTTTGTTGGCGGCAGGCGGCACCGTGCTTTGGTGTCTGCGTGATCTCTCTCTCCGAAGAAAGACATGAGAGATTTCTGCTTCATTTTGTCTGCGTTTGCATTGGACTTAGTGGTGGGAGCCGAACTCTGAACCTTTTGAAAGCGGCCGTCTTGCAGACTTCCAATCAAACCTATGGAAGCCCAGAATTGAGCGTGGTTCACCGGAACGATCGATTCTTCGGGCAGGCCTGCTCAGAGTTGGTGTAGGCGGTGTCCGGTTGCGGATACAAATGGTAGGAGGCAGGGGGAGCTCGCCTGTGCTGGTCTTCGCCAAAGCGGATCAGATATTACTCAAACCCCCATAAAAGACAGCCAGAAGACGCGCATGACCTGGGTTGCCGTTCGCGCTGTCTGGAGGCGCTCGTGTATATATCGTGGAGGGCGATCGGTATTGAAAATGATATTGCCTGGGTCTGACAGACGTGCCAGTGTCCAACCACGAGCACAAGCCAGCGATGAATTGACACGAGGCGGTATGTCGAATGCTCACCTGTTCGACCGGTTACTTCTTTGCGCTGTGACTGTACTCCCTGCTAACCAAGCGTTGGTAGCTCATATATAGCCTCGACTACCACACGAGCCGCTGTGGTCGCGCACAGAAAACACCAAACATCGAGGACGGACCGGAAAAGACAATACGGTCAGCTGCATAACCAAGTGCACACTATAGGTTTGCGGGATCCGTCGCTTCCCGGGTCGATCTATCAGCGAACGCGAGCAGTGTAGGAGACTGGGTACTCACGTCGTCTATGCTGTTTCCCAGCCATCCGGAACTGGTAAGCCGTAGATCTTAGGAAGCCTACGCCAAATGGCGCAGCGCTGCTCTTTCTCCCGCTCACACAGAGCCTCCATGCATGCGGTGCAGAGCGTGACATGGCTTGACTCCGTCCACTCGTCATACATGTCCTCCCAGGAATGCAAGAGGGTGTGTCGCTCCGAAGAAGCGCTCGCCAGCGCATGGAATTCCGCCAGGCATACTTCACAGGAGTTAGGGGCAGTGCATTCCCAGCTACTGGCGAACTGGAAGATCCGAGCGAGAACGGTGCTGGTTTCTTCTCGGAGTATTCCGTAACCATCGATGCACCGTTCGAGACGTTCGACCGTTCCGTCTGCGCGGGTCCAACCGTGGGCGAGAACACTTGCATCTAAGGAACAAAGATACAGCGCCACAGGCAACATGCCAGGATTGTTGGCTAGCCTCGCGAGCTGGACAACGCCGATTCCATGTGCGTAATTCGTTTCGAAAGGAGCATTGCCATCTTTCCACTGCTCGAAATCGTCGGTAAAGAGCAGCTTCAAGCAGGAAACAGCTTGGCGTTCGACGACATCCATCTGATACTTGTGCCCAAGGCGTGTCAAGGCGAAGAGCTGTTCGAATGTGTAGCAATTCTCGTCGTGCGACAAGTATATGCTGGGAGATGGGTACATCAACGGCACTCCATACGTGCTCGGAGGATAGTAAGACTCACGAGATGCTCGTCTTGGGTATCAGGACACGCGATAGATATCTTAGATCCAAAGGCGAGTCGGACAAACGGACCACAGGACAGCCATCTTAGAGCTGCTCTGCATCAGGACGAGCAGTAGCTAGCATGTCGGAGAAGACAAGTGACTGGGCCGCGAGGAGGCCTCGGTAAATCTTGAACGCAGTCTTGCCAGCGATCAATACGATGTTTCCGTCCTCGAGCCAGAACTCCTTGTCTTGCACCACATCTTCCAGCGATCGCGTCCCTCCGCTGTCATCGTCCGGCCGTGCACGTTTAGATAGTCTTGTACCCTCGAACGACATGAGAATAGCTCAAGGTGAACAGTTGAAGGCAGCCGAAAGAACGTCATTAATTGCGCTCCTTCCCAGCACACAAGCGCCTCCTCGGACATTGCCGAAGGATCCAAATGGATCTTTCTCTTTCTCGCCCAAGGCCACCTCTGACTTCTTGGCCCGTTGAATCATCCGAGTGGCGCAAGAGTTATGCTCTTGAGCTTGAAACATGCCCGGTCCAGTACCCAATTTCAGCATCGTAAGCTAACTGTATAAAGTCGCCTTCGACTTCGCTGACGAATGCTAGAAATTACAGTGAGGATTCTTGTTGTCCTTTGAGTAGGGGATTCTCGGCACCTCAGTCCCTTGTTTTTTCCGAACACGCGCTGCTTGATATGTTGCGACACTCATGAGCAGGTGCCTCCACCAGGTTGCAACTCCGACATCTCTGTACATGAACGAGGGAAAGCCTACCTTGACTAGCCCTACTCGCGACCTTGCGCTTGTGACACCTTCCCCCATCTCTTTCCTTCACAGCAAGAATATGCTCGGCTTCTTGGGTAGTATACTGCGCCCCTTCCAGCGGACGCGAAGAAACCTCAAATCATGGCCCGGACGTCGGTCCGGCCCGACGCAAGACGACTGTTCTTGGCACTCGGTCAACACTACATATCATCATTGCGGGAAAGGGATCTCTTATACGAAGCGCTTTTTTGTTTCGATCAACAGGAGGAACACTTTCTTCCGAGTCCATCGGAGGAAGGCAGGACGTCCAGTACAGTCGACACCCTCCTAACCCATACCCCTGGTAACCCATAAACTCCCGAAACCCATAAGATTTTGGCTTTCCCAAGTCGGGATAGGGGGAATTCGACCCCATAACCCATAGGCCCCTGGTACCCAATAACCCATAGCTTTCTAGGGCCCAAAACCCATACGGTAATAGGGCTCACATTGAGATTACGCTCATCGATAACCTTTGCAATACTCGATGCATGCTTCCCAGAGTCCTCCCAGTGTCCATCCATGCTCCGACCACGTTGTGGGTAGGTGAGTCTGTTCGAAATCTCATAGCGCTCTCTCAAAGGGTCAGTAGACGCCTTTCCAGCGCTCGCTAACTGGGACTAATCAGGGGCGCTTATGAGGCGCTTAAGTTCTCGCAGCCCATAACCC